GAAAGGGAGCGGGTCTGCAGGAGAGAATGCCCGAAATGCTCCCGAGAGGCTGGGAGGGCTCACTGAGGGGTCCCATCACGTAATCCCCTCAGAAACAAGCTGAGCAACATGAGAGGAGATGGAGAGAGGCATCACCAAGTGCGGGATATCATATAAAGGAGGGACCCAGGGCTATCATCCTCATCGATCTTGGTCTCAGCTACCAAGCTCTTGGAATCCCCCAGATAATAGTCACTAATAACGGGCAGCATTTGAGTTTGCTGATAACATCTCCGAGAACAGCCCCAGCCACTGGGGAGCAGCGGTTGGGGCTGCTCCCAAAGATACCTCCCATGGAAGGGCCACAGCGGGATCTGCTGCATTACTTAAGGAAGATTTACAACTGATAATCCTTTCAGTGCTGGCCTTGGGAGGGTGGAAAATAAGCCACTAAATACAAAAGAAAAACTGAATGAACAAAAAGACAGCCCGTGGGCAGAATGACCCATTTGCAATGAAAAGTATGAACCCAACTTTTCTCAGGCTGGGAATGAATAGAATTGGATTGGAGAATACACAGAAAAAATTGGCAGATTTTGAAGATAAAGAAATGACTTATGAGTGGAGTGAAGGAAGGAAAAACAGCACTTTAAGAAGGAAAAATCTAAACTTGTTATACATTATAAAATGTTATACATATAAAATGTAGGGCAGGCTAAGGACCTCTTCTGATCTTAGGACTTGAATCTCCATTAAACACAGATGGAATGAATACCCTGAGCAGTTTCGAACAGTAAATCAAAATATTTAAAAAGGAGCAGTGAAGGGGGAATGGAAAATGTTCCACACAAGTAAAAGCAGAACATAAAACACACAGTGGAAAAAGCAAAACAAAAACAGAAAAGGGAGGAAGCAAAATCAAAATCACAAGGGAAAAATCATCTACAGCTGGATGGAGAGAAAAACTCCCTAAGATAGGCAGAAATAAAAAGCATGCAATAGAAGAAACAACAATCTCACTGGGCAGCAAAAGAAGCTTACGCAACACAAGGTAGCTCGTGCTTCTGTGGAAAACACTGACATACGTGTTGTCTGCATACCATGGAAAGGAAGAAATACACCCTGTTTAAAAAGAAGGAAGTCTCATGCAAGCAAATGAAATTCCAAGTAAGTGACTAGACACTTTTTTTCTCCTCTTAATATATAGGACATTTCTGGTGATGTATTATTACCAATTCCAAAGCTTTTAATCGGGTGTCTGGAAAATCACAAGACCGAGGAAAGAAAGTATGTCCTGGCCTTGTGCCTTTAAGTCTTATTAATTAATGTATGTATTTCCTGCAATAACGACAGCTGCAAAGTTATAAAAGGTAAATGAGACTGTGCAATCCCAGGAATATGGAGGAAATAAAAAATATAATTTGTAGGACTTGCAGGAAAACTTGCATCTTAATACTCATCTTTAATAGTAACTTTATTATTATTATTATTTATGGTATGAAAGCTTCTATTTGGCAGGAAGATAACATTCTACAGCTACAATCATGGGACTATTGTGGTCATGACGCTTCTGGAAGATGGTCAAGATCATCTGTTGAGTGAATACACAGGAGTAGTGAATTGTCTTTTCTGCTGGCATTTCATGGAATCCCACAATGGTTGAGGTTGGCAGGGACCTCTAGAGACCATCTAGTCCAACCCCCCTGCTCCAGCAGGGACACCCAGAGCACAGAGTGGCATCCAGGCAGGTTTGGAAGATCTCCAGAGAAGGAGACTCCGCAGCCTCCCTGGGCAGCCTGTGCCAGGGCTCTGGCACCCCCACAGGGAAGAAGTTCTTCCTCACATGCAGATGGAACTGCCTGTATTGCAACTTGTAGCCATTGCCCCTTGTCCTGTCACTGGCCACCACTGAGAAGAGCTTGGCCCCTTCCTCCCTACGTTCACCCTAACCCTAGGGTTCACCCTAACCCTTGATCAGACCCCTACTCCACCTTCTCTTCTTCAAGCTAAACTGGCCCAGCTCGCTTGGTCTTTCCTCATATGATAGATGCTCCAGTCCCTTAATCATCTTTGTCTGCACTGGACCCTCTTGAGAAGCTCCATGTCCCTCTTGTGCTGGAGAGCCCAGAACTGCACCCAACTGCACGCTCCAGGTGTGCATATCGGTATGGGAACATTCCGTTCACCCAGTCAACTCCTCAACTACAGATGAAGCAGCATCTCAGGCAAACATTTCCAACTGAGATTTGTTCTGCCATAATTATACCTACTCCACTGCATCTCCATCCTTCACAACGTTCTGAAGTCTTAACTTCAGCCGAGCAAGTCTTAACGCCAGCCGAGGCAGTAAGCCAAGAGGCATTCAGCTGTTCTTCCAAGAGCTCTTCAATTTTGAATCATTTCTGCATTGCTTTGAGCCACCTTGCACGCCATCTGATTTTTTTTTCTTTGTTCTTGCTCTTCATTTCTGCAACTTTCACCACAGGTGATACATTACTTGGTATGACAAAAGTTTCAGGATGATGTTTCAAAGTTCTTTCTTTGCTTTCTGGGTCTCCCAGCTATCTACTGTACTGATTTGGAAGAGTTTCCATTTTCCCTTCCTTGCCACCTAACATTCCTTATGCCGTACTTGTTAAATCTAAAGCTTTCAAGGGATTTTAAGTCATTAATCTTTCCCCCGGTCTAAAATCACTCTTCCTCAGAGTCATTACAACTGAATGGCAGGCAAACAACAGTGAAGAGGCAATCGGTTGAAGCCATACATTTTATTGCCAGGTAGCATTTAGGCACACCTTTAAAAGGTGGTTTAGATAACAACAAAAAAGAAAGAAAACAAAAAAGAATCACCCCCCAGCTGCAGGCACCTGTAAATTGCTACTCAGATAATCACCTCTCTGGTATTTTTGGATCCCAAACAGGTAGCAGATAATCCTTGTTCTCCATTTTCTCGGAAGGTTCTCTTCACTTGCTCCATTCCCTTACAACAGTCATTGAATATCACTTAAAAAAAAAAAAATCACATCTGAAATCTTGAAATTTGAAGATGACCTCCCCAGCTTCTATTTAATCTTTGTTTCCTCATGAGATCATAACCAATCCTCCAAGTTTTGAATACCTTGACAAAGCGCACAAATGATTCCAAGGCACCGGACTGTCAACTTAAATTTATTACAGATTTATACAGAAAGCCATTTTACACCAAGAAACTTGAAAAAAAATTAAGTTAAATATAAAGCTTTCAACAAATTTCTTAAGAGTTTCAGAACAATAGGCTTATTTCGTTATGTGGCAAATATTGTACAAAACTGCCACAGGAACAGTGGTATTTTACTTTCACGCCTTGCACAATTTTAGGTTAAACTCTGTACCTGAAGCACTGAATATTCAGAGCACTTTAAATGCACTAAACAATGTAGCTATGTAAGAGCACAGCCCAAATGTCAAAATATGTCTATTTTATACACAAGTTTAAAAGCACTTCATAAAGTTGCATGGACTCCAATTGATGTCACACAATTTACTTCAAAAGAGACTTCTTGCAGAGTACTTACACGGAGTAATTTACAGTAAACAATACTGTTCTGAGCGCTGCAGAAAAGAACTAGCATTCTGAAGGTTAAGTCCACTGATTACTTCCAACTACGTCCACATTTTTTGCCATTGATTTCAGAGGCAACGACTGATTTTTATTTTGTTTTTAATTAAGAGGTGTGAGGGCCAGCACTTGCAGCAGAGCAATCAAAGATGCTTCCCGAGGCACACGCAACGACCAGGACCTCCTTATCACAGATTTCAAAAGCTACAGCCTTTAGGACCATTTTAGTGCCAAGCCCTAAGGAAGGTGCAGATGGGCTGCAGCAAAAGCAAACCACAACAGAGATGAGAGCCCCAGTGCCCAACAGCGCTGGGTTTGTTGTTAAGGTGATGCAAACGTGTTTTGAAAAGAGAAATATCAGGTCCATGTCTTTTCTCTCTTCTCTCGCCCTCCTTTTTTGCCCTCTTTTCTCTGGGAGCACTACTCGTTGTTAAAATACATTCCAAAGTGGTCAAAATACATTTCAAAACAAGCGTTCCTGATCTTGTGACTTGCTTCAAAACTATAGAGAGGCTCCACCAGCCAGGATTTAAAGATGCACAACATGCATGTCTGTGAACAAATTTTAACATGTGTAGTTTAGATAGTGATGAACATCATGACTTCTCAGTACAGGTTCAGTACAACTCTCAGGCTCATAAGCTCATCTTCAGCTCTTAAGCTGAAGACTACCTCGTCAAGCTCACATTTTTATGTGAAAGTCATCATTCCTTAATAAAAACTCCAATCAGGAGAGGTGGTTATGATGTTATTAAAACTTTTTAAGATTTACATTTCAGAACAGGAGGTGCCACTAGGATGCTTTAGTTATTTTCATGTGAGTGTACAGAAAGTTAAGAGGCTTCAGTTCGATTCTAATTAGTACTGATTAAGTCATTGGGGTTTTCTTCAGTGCTAGGGCTACCTACAGGGTACCAATGGGGTTAGATGCAAGCACACAGGAGATTGCTTTACCTACAACTCTGAGCTGCCCAGACCTGTGCAAGCCCCTCTCCACAACCTAGTTATGCACATAACTATGGATATAACTATGTACATTCTCCCTAAGAAGCATTATCAGCTTGAAAATAGTGCTAAATTAACACAGCTCTTGAGTTTTTAAACCAGAACTGTCGTTTGGGCACTCAAACCTTGCACTTGTCTGCTGGCTTTGGGATAAATACACTCCTCACAACAAGACTGAAGAAATACATTCCTGGAAAGATGCTGAGGAACTTGCTTCTTCAGCTGCACATGGCAAAGCAGTACCTTGTGGGATGAAACACAAATTTGCTTAAGAAATTCAAGGCCTTACAAGCTATGTTTATTTCTCTTTCACTTCTGTTCACAAAATGTAAAACAACAAAAGTAAAAGCAATTTAAACCAGTACATGCAAGCTAAAGCCCTGAATAGCCTTCGACATTGGGAATCCTTCTTGGTAACTGTTCTGAGTGAAGGATGTGCATTTCAAACATTTAGAGGGGTATAAAGCTGAACTTACCTGAACTAATAAGCATGTGCAAAAATGAAAATAACAGCATGCAGTTTCATTTAGAAAACTTTTTTTTTTGGAGGGGTAGAGGGTGGGCAGATGTTGTCGGGAGTTTGCTGCTCATCCCTTACATGCTTCGCAAGTCACTTAGGATGAAATGTAATCAAAGCCTGAGTTTAGGCTCAGAGCTTCACGGTAACTTGAGTGAGTCTAAGCATGGACCACTGACTTGCACTTTCCCTGGACTCCGTCCTCACGCTGCAGCCGAGTGAGGTGGCTGAAAGCTAAATCCACAACAGAGGGTTAATCTTCTGCTGCAGCTGTTTCTTCGAGGTGCTAAGCCCTGCTCAGCAGCCCTCGGTGCCGCACAGGGGGATCACTGCTAGTGGCAGCTATGGCCGTAAGAAACAAGCAGCAGCGAAACAGGGCGATAACTAACCAAGTCATTAACTCAAAGACCCACCACCTCAACCAAAGAGGCATCACTCGGTCACAGCTGTGCCAGTTTATCCATGTCCTTTCCCAAGGAGCTTCCCACCCACCTGAGTGAAGCAACTTGCAACAGCTCACCATCTCTAAGAGTGCCTTGGTAACTGTGATGCTGTTTCAAGTGTTGGCCCATGGCTTGTGGCATTTCCCCGTGCAACAAAGATCTTCCAGAGGCAAAGACTTTAGACAGAGGTTCTTCTACATTTTACAGATGTTGTTCTAAACTCAAAAATCATACTTAAACCAAACTTCACAAGCGTAAGCTTGCACAATACAGAAAAATCTATAAACCCCCAACAAAAGCATGCAAAATAAATCAGAAAGCTAACAATTCTAAATACAAATTAAAGTGAATATAACACCAAAATAATACATGAAGTCTGATATCGTCTTAATTAAGGTCTTAATTAAGAAAGAACTTGCATTTTTTTTTTAAATTAAATGTCAAATTTGAGTTAAAGCAAAAGAAGTCCCCATTTTCCCCAAATCCTGGTCCTTCAGATACCAACAGCAGTTTGAGCTCCTACCCGGCATTACCTAGTTATTTTAGAGTCAACATTAGTATTTAGACATTGAAAGAGAGTTTGTATTTCCTTCCGCAGGAGTCCCCCAAACTACTGTTTTAACATGGAAGTGAATAAAAGAGGGGAACACCTTTAGGATTTCTGCCCCAGCATTTTAGGCGTAGGTATTCCCGGCCTAGTGCTCCATTTCAAACTGTGTGCGACCTGTCCAAGTCTGTCCTTGAGAGTTAGCGCTGGTCCTACTCCCCAAAGGAATCTTTTTGATCACCAGCTCTCTTGCTTAGAAGGCAGCAGTGGAGATTTACATCATTCTGACAGCACGTTAGGTGAAAAAATTGCACCAACCCCAGCTGTAAAAAGCTTCCATACTGTTAGGTGTTACGCAGTTATGTAAACTGTAAAACTGCATAACTTTCTAGCATACAATAAGCTAACTTTAGATGCATGTTAAATCTTGTAATGTAATGATGACTAATCATCTAACGGACACAAAGTCTTGCACAATAATTTAGCGTCTTCATCTCCTTGAAGCTTCTGTATCTTAATTCTCCATGAACGACTTCAGTCCTGGACATCAAAGTAGTCAATTACTGGCTCTTCTTTCAATGATTTTGCTAAACCATTGTTTCCAACACTCCTGAAATTAAGAGTATTAGATGTTACTCACCTGCATGAAAAACAAGATACAAAATAATCTGACCCAACTCCCATCCCGTCTCAGTGTGTCCATGCACATTGTACTGGTAGGTGGCCTGCTTTACTAAACTATGTTTTAATACAAATATCTTAGGGCGCAAAAAAGTAACCTTCTTAACTGTGATTTTAGGAAGTAAATATACTATATTAATAAGCATAATGTGTATGGTTGAATTTATTTTGGGATCTTACCAGCAAATACCATTTACTGTGGTATTTATTGTGCGAGCAATAACACACTGAAGACTAGCTGTTCAAATTCTTTCTCAAAGGAAGAGCGAAAGAAATATTGAATATTTGCCAAATCTACCCACTTCCAAAAGTAAAGGTTACTGAAAGAGATCTATGGCAATAATAAATCCAATTAAAGACTTGTGTCACAAGCCAGTATCTGAACTTCCAAAATATTTTCCAGGAGAAAAACACTTCTAAAGAAGCTTTACGTCCAAAAATTAAAATTGGCTAAAATAGTTTACAACTGTGTCATGTTAATGTCCCCTTTCAATAGGGACACTGACCAAAAGTGAATCCCACAGAGCTAAGTGGAAATAAAGGTTAGCAACCTGTTTGGAAAAAAAGGTCAGCTTGGGTTACAGAGTAAGCAATCATTTCATTAATTCTAACACAGATAATTTTTCCAGAACTGTCTATTTTGTCTTCCAGAAGCACCTAAGCCACCCATTACCTACCACAATAGTTTCAAGCAAATTTAAGTTGTCCTTTCTTCAATTTGAAAGCTGTTTCCTCCTCCTTCCTAACATGAGATTATTTCAAATCTCATTTCAAATTTCAAATTTGGAAAATAACTAGGGGGTGTAGAAGGAGTTTTGAAAGGTGAAAAGCAAACAACGCTTAAGCCAACTTTTTAAAAATTTCATTACTATGACATGACTACAGGTGCTTGGAGCTGGCATGTCACGAAAAGTAAAGACTGGTATATTGGGCTATGCAGCCAAGGGCTTTATACACCCCATCTTCAGCAGCTTTCAGCATCTGAGAACATAAAGTTTACCTTTAGCCAACTGTGTAGTGATATCTACACAAGAAAAAAATCATCTTACAAACTGTACAAATAAATTACTATGCTGGTAAGACTTTATTCATTTTCTTTTAAACATTTTTTCAAGTCTCCCCCCAAAGCCACTTGTCCCCCAACTGTCTAACCTTTAGATTCAAAAAAAAAAGTTTACAAGTCCACAATATTTGTAGTATTACTTCCCTTATAGTAATAGTTAGTTCTAGTTAATAGTTAAGTTATAATATAATTAAGTCATAGTTAATTCTACGTTTTGTTAACATTTCCCTTCAATTTTACTTTTGTGGAAATCAAGTCTCAGTGCAGACAGCAAGCTCCCAAACTTGGTGTAGGCTGAGAAAACCAAGAGGCAGCAACCTCTGAACACTCCCGCAGTGATCTCAGCACTAAACAGAGCACCGCTCGACCAGCTCCTTACTTATCTGTTTGCTTGTAGTGGGGAATAGGAGGCGGAGGTCTGCTCTGCATTTCTTTATCTAGAACAGAAGTTAAGGTATTGCTTGGACAGACAGACTTCCCCCTAGAGAAAGGCAGAATACAAAAGGTTATTTTGTTTACATAACTAGAAATTATAATCATTAAGAAGGACTGGATCATCTCTAGAGGTCCCTTCCAACCTTAAAGAGTCTGTGATTCTATGAAGCACTTGGCTTTCCAGCAATTACTGCGCTCCAGACTAGCAGGGCCGGTCACCAAGCCCCAGCATCACTCAGCAGTCTGGGTTATCGCTTGTCGGAGGCTTCACCAGTTTCTGCATCTTGAAGAGGTGGCAGTAAGGCAATGAGAAGACCCCCTGGAGGAGGCCCTTGCAGTGAGGCACAAAGCTGAGCAGCTGAAGCAAGTGCAGAGCAGGCAACGCCTTGGAGGGGACAGCAGCAACACAACACAGCCAGCTCCTCCTGCACTGCCTGCTGCTCCCTGACAGCTTCCCATTCTCCAGCTGCAGGATGCAAGACCTTGGTTTTTAAAGCACAGTTATCAGTCCCTTCTCTGATGCTTTCTCCTCCTCACTCATCTCTCTTTCTCTTAGGCCTCTCTTACCCATTTATTTTTCTCAGCTCAGCTTTTTCAAGCATCATCTCCTTCCTCACTTTGCCTCAGGGGGAAAAATAAAATGAAGTAAAGCAACTAGCTGTCAAAGATCATGACCTGACAGTGCAAAACAGACCCTGACAGAATCAAGCTGTCCCGTGAGCTGTGGAAGCAAGGAAGCCTACGTTTCCCATCCATATCTAGTCTATGTAATAATTTTTTCCCCAACCATATGTCCTTCACTTCCTTCACTACTGTGAACTCCACGGCTCCTCTTCAAGTATTTACAGGTCTGCTCAGAGACGCCTTAAATTTGCAATAATTCCATCTTTCTTTATCCATTAACTAAAGGGCGAATATATTCTGTGGCAGGTTCAGAAAGAGACGAAAAAATATGCTCCAGTAACAGACTTCACAGAAGCTGTAAACTAAGGTGTGTCCTCTATAGGCCGCAACTATTTTTTTTCTAAAACAATAATAAATAAATAATAATAATAATAATTTACTATTACAGCTATGTCTAATTTAGCTGAGGGCAAAAGACAATGCTACTGAAGAGATGAATAGAAAGCAGCCTTGCAAAACCATATTTTCCAACTCATTCATGGAAACGATATAAACACGTCAGCATTTAAGCAAGAGCTCACAGTGAGAAATGCCTCACGTACTTCACGGCAGTGATAACCACGTTACGCTTGGGTTCGTTGTCGTAGCTCACGCTTTCAATGCCGTAAACCTGAGCTAACTCGTGGATGATTCGGCGATGGTCTCTGTTCATCGGCGGGTAACAGTGGCTCTTCTTTGTATGCTTGCCCTGAATTAAAGGGAAAAATAAAATATATGGTAAGGTTTTCCTTCTGAAGGAGGAAAATAAAGAATGATGTGCTTCTACCTCTAAACTTTTGCCACTATAGCAACATTAGTGCTACCAAAGGAGCAATTTATTTGCAAAATCTGTCGTGCAATATGAGAAGTCCAATAATGTTACAGAAATGCAACAAATCTGAAGTTTTAATTTCAGTCAAAAGATGCTAACAATTGATTTGATATTGATTGTTACATGAACAGTAAAAGGATAAAGAAATGTGGGCCCCCTTTCAAATAATCGGTGGTTTATTGACAACAGGCATGGATAAAGAGGGGACACCCAGTCTGCTTCAAGGACTGGGATACTCTGCCTCAATCCTTGCCTTAGTCTTCCCCAAGTTCTCCCAGGCCTTTAGACCCGTGTACAGGGTTTGCAGACAGTAACAGAGAGATGTTGAGCTGGGGATTTCCTGAGAAGCAGCTTATATGGCTTCAAGGGACCAGATGCAGATCCTGATGCAGGGAACTACAGGGTGATCTGTTTCACTTCAATCCCGGAGGAGAATTGGAGAGCAAGTCCTTTTAGACAGCACTTTTAGGCACGGGAAGGAAAAGGTCTGTAGGAGTAGTTAACGTGGATTTACCGAAGATTTTCAAGATCTGATTGGGCAGAGCCCTAAACCTGGAGCATATTCAGCAGCGATCCTGCTTCAAGCCAGAGGCTGGCCTAAGTCATCTCTGGAGATCCCTTCCAAGCTGAACCATTTCTGCGACATCTTCTGACAACCCATGCCTTCGTTAACATGCAAATGCCTGGGGAGTGCACTTCAGCACTGCACAATGACAAGTGATAAATCACAGCAGTCACTTGACAAACAAAAGATGCCTCACCTAGCTCAGTGAGATGCAGATATAGGAGAAACAAGCATCTTAAAGGGTAATTTCGATAAATCTTAAACCACCTAAAAATTAGTTCCAACCTACCATAAGATTGCACGAAGTAACTGAGGCAGTGTTGTATATTCTTTCCTCCCTAGCAGTCAGAATCTTAAATTTAACATATTCTAGAAATATCACCTTTTTTAAACAGATTAAAGAATAAAGACTTGGAAATTACTCGAACGCCTGCAGTAATCAACATGCAGGTTCTTAAACTCTTTGCTTTACTGTAATACTGATCACAGTTATTTAGAAAAAGGAATGCTACTTAACAGTAATCCCATTTGTCATAATCCCTTCCCCTTCTATTCCACTCCGCAAGAGATTTAATCATCAGTTCATACAGAGAAAGGCAGAATGAGGAGAAAACTTATCCTCTCCATTAAGAAAGAACACACTAATTTTGCTATAATCACCTAAATTCCTCTTCAGATCACCACATGTAACAACAGAGCAGCAGGTTAGGTGCATATTGTAGTTACACTGTTAGGAGAGGATTAAAAATCCTCTTAGGCTGTAAAATAGCTAAACTAAGTATAGTAAAAGATCCTGAAATCTTTTCTAAGAGTCACTGCTTTTCAGGATAATATCACAAGCTGTTTAGGTAAAAATTTTACTTACCAGAAAGCAGTCACAAACATCCCATCCATTATAATATTTTAAGCATAGAAGTATAGAAAAAATTCTAAAATTTTCTGCTCATTTATGACCATTAGCAATGCTTCCTTTAAAAAGTGGTGATTGGTTCCAGACTAAGAAACACCATCAGAATTTCTGCCCATATAGCCACGGTCTGGGATGATACAACCGTTTTCTGTCCTGTCTGCTTTTGTATGTCAGAAGTGACAACTCTGCTTTGTCAGATTAATACACACTGATGGACATAGGGGGACAGATGCTCACGAGGCAAGCAAGGTCCTATAAACAGCAAGGGCTGAAACATATTAATGCTGAAGCTCCTAAGTGACAAAAGGGTCAAAAGCCTCATTATTATTATTATTATTATTATTATTATTCTCTTATCCACTTAAGTTGAAGTCAGGGTCACCAAAGAAAGGACGCAAAAAAGTGAAAGGTGTGAACATAATAAGTGAATAATCTGGATAGAATATATAGTACTGATATAAACACCGCTACATGAACACTTGATACACTAGCCCACAAAGTATTTTGAATGCAAGTACGTAAAGCTCTGTATCTGGGAACAAAGAGCACAACCCACGTTTTGATGAGAAAGGATTTACAAGTCACAGTTATCAAGCAGCCGAACGCAGACTCAAGTGCAAGAGGATTTAGGAATCATGGCAGCACAGCAACTAAACATAGTCTTCTACCATAACGCCACGTTAATAGTATTAAATCTGATTTTCAGATACATAAAGGCAGCTGGCATTAATTTCGAATAGACTATTTAACACAAAATAGCAGAGAAATACTTCACACTAAGTTTGTGTCTCTGCCCCAAAACACTAGTGAATTGAGAGGGTACAAGAAAAGCTCCAAGTATTTTAGCCAGGACCAAGAATTTGTGGATTACACCTTCTATAATCTGTCAAAAAGACAATCAACAGATGGCTCAATAACAGTTAACTCCACAGGAACCAAATATGATGTGATAAAAGTTGAATTAAAATTAAAAAATAGCTCCTCGTTTATATTTAAGCTGGGAATAAGACTGTTTGGATCAGATACACTGGCAGAACTCAGAATTAAGAAAGGACTATAATGCACGGCAAGGCTGGCACAACAGCAGCAGCACCTGCAACTACTCACTGCACAAAATAAAGCTCCAGCACACAGAACAAGACCACAACTCTTGCTCCTTCCTGGTATTTGTCCTAAGGAGCTTCCAATACTGCATATACTAGTGACATGCGAGTTTAGCAAAAATAAAGCAAATGTGAGCAAAAAACCTTTGTATTATATCCCAAATATCATTACTGTTGAAAGAAGTTTTTAGCTTGTGGGTCTCAGACACTGCCTTCTTTCAGCACAGCAAAGATTCCAGAAAATACCGTATCTGAAGAAAATGATCAAAGAGAACAACTTCTTGAACATACACAGAGCTGCTGAAGTCCGGTCTCAGGATTCCCCTAGCATGAAGCAGATTCATAAATAAAACCATTGAAGTATCTTATGGGCCAACATAAAAGGTTCCAGAACCGCAAGTGATTAAGATAAAAGGTGCAGTGGAATTAGGAGACTTGTGGTGCTTCATTGCCCTTCAAACAGGACTTCTCTAAAGGACTGCTCAAAAAAAAAAAAAAATCCAGGAATGTGAGGTATGCAGAAAAACATTAAAGAAAGGGACCTCAGCCTTCAAAGAGATTCCTTGCAAAGTAAGATTCTCTATGGATTCTTCCTAATGACAAGTGAGAACCATATACTAACAACAGGCAGAATTTCGTGGCACTTTGTATTAAATTTTTTCATGCAAAAAAAAAAATTTAGAGGCTCTCCCCAGCAGTGAGAACCAGCTTGGCTGGCTGGACAACACCGAAACAACTCAATCTGACTTGGTCAAGCTGGCCAGAAGCGCGAAGGAGCAGCCACAATAGCACCAGTTCAGAGATATCTTCAAGGTAGCACAAATACCTGTGGTTGCAGGATGAAATATGACATGGGGGCTCAAGGAAGCCTCTGAGATTAAGACATAAAAGGCAGAGAGAAGGTATGCCATAAGGGGGGCTGAGGGCACCTGGACTTCACAGGACATTGTCCTTCTCGTGTCTCAACATGAGACATGATCACAGCTTGGAAAGCAAGGACAGAGTGTGGCACATGCTGTGAAAAGAAACAACTGTGGTCTCAAGTAGCAGGTCACAAGTAGATCTATTGTTATCATGTACACAAAGCTCATCCGTGCAGAGTGCAGAAAGTTTGTAACCAGTGCAGAGAGGTTTAAAATGGTCCTCTCATCAGGAAAGCAAGAGTCAGGGCTATTAAGCACTTAAAGGAGTTTGACAGCCTTGCTAAACTCACTATGTAACTGGAGAAATGCTGGGGACGGGACATGAAGATGGCAATCAGACTCCTCAGGTTATCTGTTGGCTTGGCCCATTGAAGACTTTCTGAAAGAAGAATGATTTCTTATCTGCCCCTGCATTGTAATGTATGGATTCCAAGCTGCACGTCCTGCGGCACATCTGCGGTACCCTCAAAGGAATGCATCCTTTCAAGCCAAATTTGACTTTCGAGGACTTCCTGCACTTTATGGAATGGCAAATCCCAATGCCCCTGAGGGGCAGGACAGTGTCAAACAGATTCCTGACCAGAGGTACCCGACTGTTATGCAGGTTGGACCCGTTCACCCCGATCAGGATAAAAGCTTAAATAACCACCAGATAATTCTCCCTTTAGGCCAGGCAGGGAGAGGGAAAGGGAGAGGACTGCCACAGGCACCGCCTGCTTTCATTTGCCATTCTCTTCTGTAACACAGGCACTCTTCCCAGCAGGCACTCAGCGGCCTGTTTGTAGAATCATTCTTTAACAAATGCTTGGCTACTGCTGAGACCTGAAGCACTGCAGATGCTCCTGGGCTCTCCTGTTCAGCTGTATTTTATACTGCTAATCATTGTATGTTGTTAATTCAAGATTTTTGGTTGTCCTTTTTGTGTATATATATTTTGGCCATGTACTAATATAGGTGTATATACATTATTGCTACAGGTAATTATCAATTTACATACATATTTAACACATACACACATATATATTTTAATATCACAGTCAATGCAATCTTGAAAAAGTTTTTTGTTTTGTTTAAGCTGGCAATAGATGGTTGAGATAAATCTACTACTTAATGCCTGAGGGGCCTGAATTCAGCAAGACACAGATTGCCTCTTTTAGTCAAAGTGAAAAAAAAAGGATAATATGACACGGGCAGAGAAACACAAAGATGTTTTAAGAATCAACTTACATGAAAATAGGAATAAAGTAATTGAAACAGTACATAAGTATTCAGGGAAGGAAGAAAGTAGAAAGGAGAGAAAGGAAGGTTAAAGCTTCCTGTGAAAAGGTACTGTTTTGTGAACTATGGGTAACCAAGTGCATCTTGTCCTTTTCAGCTTGCAAAGCAGGTCACAGGTATGGTACAGCATAAGTTCCAGGAATATGAAAAGCTTTCAGTCCCAAAGGAATAATTCTACTTTCATAAAAGCATTTGTGCCCATTGCACATGACCTTTCCAGAGACACTAGAGTGTGCCAAACAACTAGGGTTGAGCCCACAAGGCCTTAATAACGCAGAGCCAACACAGACGTCTGCTGGAAGGTGCTCACAGGTTCCCGGGCAAAAGCTACTGCCAGGGGCTGCACAACTTCGAACCTCCCTCTCAAAGTCTTTAAGCACTTAAAAAGCCATGTTTGATGATTAACTCTTCATTAATTGAGATCCAGAAGTTAATCTCTGTCTACTGATGCATTAAAGCCTAATACTGGTTGAATCTTTAAATGAAGTTTGGCTGTCAAAAAGATCCTGAACTATCATGTCTCCTAAAAATGTTGTTCTATTTATGACGAAAATATGCATTTCATCACAGTCCAAATAATCCAGTGTCAGTTCATAATTATTAGAACTGAGAACTTCAGTAAGCATTCAAAATCATCCCTTCCAAAACCCCAAACTTTCTTAGTACCTCATACAGTATCTGAATACTGACCTTATTCACAGCCTCCACAAGCATTCTCATTTCCTTCTCAATATCACTGACAAATTTTAGGTCTTTCCTGCAAGAAAAGCACACAAGGTAAATTAAATAAAGGATAACACTTTTGTATACAAGGTCTTCATTTTTTGTAACGTTTTTGTTACATTCTCAACAAGAACAGAATTACTCACTTGACTGAAGCAGTAACAGGAGTGAGAGTATATTTTGGTTTATATGTTATTTCATTTGCTATAATAAAATGTTAACATGCCATGACTGTTACAAAAACCTTGAATTATTTTTCCTTCAGGACTTGAAAACAAGCCAATTATTGACTTACAATAATTGCAATCAAATTATTACGATACAATTTTGCATTCTCAAATACCTTATTTTGATTTTGAAGTAATCTTTCCAGTATCTTGAAGTTACTTCTCATTAAGAAAATCCTTTTATTATAATGCAATTACATATGGCAATTAGAGTGCGGTAAACAGAGTGGAGCTTTTTCCCTAAGATGCATTGACTCTGATATTTAATACATTCAGCATAAAAAATAAAAGGGAAAGAGACAAAAGGCTACTTGCAAGGAAACAAAAGGCCCCTTACGTAAGATATATATAGATATTGTATATAGAGATATTAAGTTTACATACATATTTTTAACTCTATCTAAAAACACATAGTAGCTCAAAACCATCAAATTTAAGATAACCTCTATTTAAAGAATTTCCCTAGTTAAAAAATAGCCTTTTCCCTTGGACAATCACAGGTATAATTTGCTTATGATCTATAAAGTTTCTCTTCAAAGAAATGAGCACTGTGTCAGGCTGACAGTTTATGCTGTGCTGCTCTCGTACAGGCAAGCTACAGATGATTTCTGCTTTCACAGCTTCACCATTTTTGGTTGCTGTTAAGTCATGACTGCTAGCAAGCAGGACAACAGACACAAGTGGCAATCTGACTTGCTGGAGACCCTTTATGCCCATTCCTAAGAAAGGAGAACAGAACGTGCAGAGACTCACCTCAAGTTCTCTACACTGGAACTTGATGGTTAAAAAAAGAATTCTACTGATTATTTTTTTACTTTTATTTATTTATTTTTTTTTTACAAGGGTGACTTGATTTTTAGACATAAGGCTCAGACACATTTTACACTTAGGATTGAACCAGGAGCTTTCAACCTTAACCTGATTAAACCAGGAATTTCTTGTATAGTGCTTATACAGCAAATTTGCCCTTGAGTTTCAGCATCATGGGGGCCTTTGGAGCCATGACCACACAAGCTTGCATAGATTGGTGATTTCTGTTTTCTGTTCTTAAATGTGAGGGTAAACTAATCCCAAGAGGCTAATGTTTGTTAGAGCACTATTGTTGCAAAATACCACTTTGCAAATTCTATTAAAATTCCAGCTGTCAAGAAGTAGATGCCCCATGAGAGTTTTAGATACTTCAGTGGAAGTAAAACTGGAAGACTAAGTGGCCACAAGCAAACATGTGAAATTGCAGCATTGAGTAGCTTGTCTATCAAATTCCCCTGATCACAGCACAGGGCACTCAATGCACCTTTGGAAAGGCCCTCCAGGTAAGTAGGATATGGACTACAGATCTGGCACAGGCAGCGTGAGGCTCTCAATAGATATTACAATAACCATCTCTCACTAAACCAAAACACCAACCCTTACAGAATCATCTCAAGTCCAGGCAGTAAGAGAGCAAACACTACGTGAAGCAGCAGCCTCAAGCACCCAATCCATAAAGCCGGGCCATAAGCATCAGACATGCAGGATTTAGAGACCCATTGAGGAATCAGTTCAGACAGAGTGACCAAAGCCTCAGCAAGTGCTTTTGGGGAACTTGCCCCTCCAGAACCTTCCATACAGGACAAGTCTAGGGAACATCAATCGCTGAGTCACTCACTGGTCTAAGGGGGCTCCAACCTGCAGACTGTGCACAGAGGAACTTGCCAAGCAGAGCAACACATGTGGTGGGAAAGATCAGAAGTTTGCTTCGCCTTTGAAACGACAGAGAAGATTCTCAGAGAGCACAAAGTTGGTACAAAAAAATTATAAAAAATGAAAAATTACAGATGCTCTGAGAAAAGTCATGAAAGGAGTATCAAGTTAGCACACAAGCAAGCAGTCTATATTCCTAACTATATGAAGACATGAACACTCACTAAAATATGGAAAGAAGCTGACAGCTGCCCAGCTGCTCTGGCAGGTACACCCTTGGGCAGAGCTCTTGAAAGGCCAAAAATTGCAGAGAGTATCCATGAAGCCCAGGAAGAGCATGAAGCTGCTTTAAGTCATCCCACAAGGGGATGAGAATGATGCTAGAGGTACAGAGGTACTTTGTATGAGCCTGAATGGATCAAGGTGCAGGGGCAGTAATAACTGGCTGCTGCCCATTTCACTGCTGCGCTTGTATCCAGTTGTGGGTGGCTCAGTCTGACGTTGCATCGGCTTCCTTGATTCACGTTTGCAGCTTCACTTGTCATCGTCCAGCTGCTGCAGGTGGTTTGTATATTTATAAACTAATCAGCATGCAGGTTACATTATTTTATCCCAAATAGGCAGAACATCTCTGTTTCCCAGAAGGATGGTGATAATCTATTAACTGACTGAAGAATCTCTTGGGTATTTTCAATACTGTGCAGGTTGTCTGCCTGCGGCCACCTCATCTCCCTGCTGCGTTACACACAGCGGCGGCAGCAGGCCTACCTTCCACTTGCTCTCTACCACCGTGATCAACAGAAGGGCTCTGTTGCTTGATTTTTCACTGTACTTATTGTGTTAGGGGCTTTTTTTCCCCCCTTTGCTCCCAGATTTTGCTGTCTCTGTCAAAAACCTCCCTGTTCTTACAGCACACAGCAGTGTGAAATGCTGCCTCGGCCTCGTCCCAGGCTTGAGAAGTTGTCCTCATCACCCCTCCTTCAGGCTTCTGTTTCTCCTTAAGAAATCCACCAAGGTCCCCTCCTACTCTCCAACCCATAGACTGTTCCTGTTGCCAGCCCACCCGAGCTAGTGTGCGTGGCTCTACTTTCATCAAGACAGAAACAAGGCACGGAGAGCTAATGCTTGGGAGAACTAGTTAAGAACATGCCCAAAAGGGCTCATCTCGCTCCTTCTCTCTCCAGATTCTTCCATTTGATTTCCTTGGTTCACAGAGTTGCTGCATGATCTTGCACAGACATATATTCCAGACCACCTCCTCTTCTTCTCCATTGATACTTACCTGTCAAATAACAGTTTCAAACACCTCTCAAGGTGGGCATTTACACTTCTACTAGTTTGCTCTTCAACTTCATACCAGCAGACTAAGGTAGGGATCTGCTTGCTCCCCTGTGTCTATTTCTGGAGCTTCCTTGAAGCAGTGCTGAAGTGTCCATCCAATAGATTTGTACCCTGATCTGTGCCTGCCTGGGGCACAGTATTAGAAGATGAACCCCCCTGGCAGAAGAATACCTCCTATAGAGCAGCACGGTGCAGACGCTTGCTGCTTTTCTAATCCTTCTCGGCCACCTCTTCCTGTTATTGGGAGTTCTGCTGCATCTTGGAGTCCTGGGGCTTTCTCATGAAAGATTACAGCTCACCATAAGGAGTCCTCTCAGCTTCTCCCAAATTTACTCATCTGTGGATGTACATCTTTTTCAGCCCTTGGCAAGCCATCAGCTTCACAGATCAACTGCTTGTCTATGTGAGACAGTAAATACTCTACCCCTGGCTTCAGCAGCAGGTTTGTCTGCCTTCTCTTCAGGCATCCTGAATGCATGGGAAGACACCTGGTGTATTTCTTGAGATCCAGCACACCAACGTATAACTAAAGCTCTGCAAAAAGTGCATAAGCTCGGGCCTCTTGCACTGCTGGAGCACCCTTTTCAAGCAAGAAGTTGTGCATCAAACTGGCATGAAACATGATGAGCTGCCTGAATAAAATACTGGAACACAGACAATTTGTAGATCCTGGCATTCCAAGGTAAACTCAGACTGCTGAGATGAAACACCTTCAAGGGCGGTCAGGGCAATAAATGTCATAGAAGTAGCTTTATAAAATTTGATGCTGACCGAAAAAAAAAAAAGAGGCCAGAACAGAGAGAAGTTAAATTTACCTTGCAGACTAGAGTAAGAGCAATTAAATTAGGTAATGTGTAAGGTCATTCTCTTAAGCACTAAGAAGTTTTTGTTGTAAGGTTACAACAATCGAGAAGAGCAGCTTGGATGCGTTAGTTGGTCCTGCAAAGGTGGTTAGGAAAAAAAAACCACAAAATCGTAGAAGAAAACGGAAGAGATTTTCATGAAGAAAAGTAGGAGCATTAAGCCCACTTTTCAAGGTATTTGTTAGACCATCTGGAATACAGTGCACAACTCTGGTTAATTCTTTTGACAGAACAAACAAACAAAACCCCTGAAACAACAAGCCAAAAAATGCATTACAGGTAGAGAAGAGCAGTCAGAAAAGTGGAAGACAGTGAAGAGTCTGGCTTGTTTAATGCAGTAAATTCAAGGCTAGATGTCATATAATTCTACTCCAGAAAGGGAGAGCATATGCGAGGGAAAAGCACATATGTCACAAGATAACCAGTTTCTCTGTTTTGAAAACAAAGACAGCAGGTGAAACAAGTAAACAGGACTAGTGGAGGGAAGCTGTGTCATGCTCTGAGGGCACGTCTCGTAACTAAGCTATTACTTTCATCTCTCTCCTGACAAGCTTACAAATGGTAAGGGGCAGAAGGGGGCAGAAACAGTTGAGATACAGGAAGCACAAGGTACTGGTTTGCCATGAAAAGAACAGTGGAGAGCTGCTGCTCCTGCTTTAAATTGGTCCTGCTGCAGAATGAACTGTCCACACACGCACTTTTTATTTTTCAGGTTCTCAAGTGGTCTCGAGAAGTGCACATCATCTCCTTTGCCTCAACAGAGGCAAATGGTGCTCAAACTAGGAAGCAAACACAGGCAATTTTACAAGAGTAAATAGAAACATTGTTCCCTACTCTCACGCTTTTATTTATGACACCTACGTATGCACTTTGTTACAGGGGCTGGAAAAAAAAGTATAGGTGAATCTTAACCACAAGTGGACACATACCTGGCATCTTCTTTCAGAAGGTCGCTGTACTTGGGTCCAGAAGAGCGAACATTGAAAGGGTCAGAATTATCATCTATCTGAAGAGCCTCGGCAAGACGCCTAAATCCAGGGATAGGGGGAAAGCCAAACAAAACCTTTTGTCATTGAAGAGCAAGGAGATAGGCCACCAATATAGAAAAAGGGCTCCAAAAAAATCTATTCTGTATATGTGAACCTCCTCCAGCTTTTCTCTCAGATATTCCAGTAAGAACTCTACTAAGAGGTGATCACACAATATAGATTCTTAAACACAAGGATCTAGTTTTCTAGGTACTAAAGATTTCCCGCACAGCATGAGCCTTCTGAATAAATTTCTTTATAAAAAATTGTAATTAAAACTGTTGATATTTTTAATAAAGTATACATACACCTTGAATAATTAACTAATACACTACCAATATGTTAAATGCACTTAATATATCAGTAAGTAAAAGTTCATTGCCTACCTGTTCCTCTGAAGAGCTAAGCACTCCTCATCACATTGCAGCCTGAATTATTACAGAAAAACATAATGAGCATCAACATTACCCTACTACATTTAAGCTGCAATTTTGTTGCTACTCTATCATTACTAGGGTTTAATGAAATAAACCGCGTGAGAGAAGAGCTTATTGCATGAGAAGAGATAACAATTAAAAAACAAGCAAACAAAAATACATGCAGACTTCCAAGTACACAGGTCCTTCTTCAGGTCTGGAATAGAAGCTGCTTTATCAAAGCTGAGAACAACAGCTTCTGAATCGGCCTCTGGCAATCTTTATAATTCCTTAAATAGTTACATAAAACTACAAGCTCTCCCATCAAGAGGGGCATCGAAAGGAACCAAAAAATTAAGCCACAAGTCATTTCAGTGACCTAAAAGCAGATGGGCATTATCAGGCATGGGAGTGCAGAAAAATTCAAGCATAAATTGACACATTAATGTAAGCTGAAAAAGAAATCCTAAAAGGACATGAAAAAAAAAACCCACTCATATGTGTGTGTGTGTGTGTATATATATATATGTGTGTATATATATATATATATATGAAAGAACATGTATGTATGCATGCTCTGGAAGGCACATTTCACCCAGGAAGGAACATTAAAAGATGGAAAAATATTATATTGCCTAGTAATCTATACAAATCCAGACAAACTCTATAAAGTTTCCTGGAGTAGACATAAACGTTGAAATCACAACAGTATTGATCCATTTACAAATATAAACGTCACAACAAAACAGCCAATGGTAGAGAAATTATTCTATAAAAAAACAATGGCTAAATGATTGCCAAATTCTCTATTTACTGTATTGTTAGAGTATGGTATCTAATGTCTTCCCATTTTAGCTGGGAATCTGCTCACAGTATTATCTTATTACACACATGTGTTACAAATAAGCATTCCTACCTGGCTTGCTTCATTTCTTTTTTTGTAATAAGCCTACTGATTTCCACGGAATCTCCAAGTTGCAGATCTGTTAACTTGGTGGCAATAGATATAGCAGCTATTCTGAAAAAAGAGCAAGGAAACTTTATTTGATGCAAGAAATAAAACTTGGAAAAAGCGAATGAAACCGAACACTTAAATCTCCCTTGGGAGAAAGAGAAGAAAGACCAGTTGTTTTCTAGCAGGAACCTACTTTCATGTCCCCTAGATTTAGGGGTTTAGTCCAGCTACGTAAATTAAAAGGTAAATAAGCAACAAGAAGCTTGCTTCTCCAGATTATTTAGAGCATCCCTTCTACGCAAGTGTAAATCAGGCAAAGTGAATACTCTTTCTTCCTTCCTGCTTAATATTCAACCTCTAGCTGACCACAGAGGTTCAACTTTTCAAAACGTTTTGAAATACATTTCAACTTTCTTGTGGTTCTTTGACTGTAAATAAAACCTGAAAACTGAGTTCCCTGAAAGAGCAGAAATACCTATTAAAACTGTTACAACTTTCTGTGAAAAGGTTTTCTGTTCCCATTAATAATAGCCTTCCCAGTCTGATTTACTTCCTAAATTCTGCTATCAAGATACTGCACTGCAAGCATTCAGTGAAATATCCCACATTATTCTCAAATAAAATCCTGAAGATGAAAAATTCTATCCTCTGAACTCACTTTCCTGTTAATTTTCACAAAATTTCGCAAAAGGACACTCTTTTTTCTCCAAACCTTTCACAGCAAATTCAGAGAATAGCTAATTAGCCATCAGAAAGCTCATCATGTAACATAGTCCTTTGTCAGTTGTGACAAACGTCAATGAGAGCCACCATCAGTTCCAAATTCATCAGGAAATGACGACGTAAAGCTAATGGACAATTACATGAAGGTGCTGTGTGCACCTACACCATCCTCACAGACACAGCAATCTGCACAGCTGGATTCATCAAACTTAGCTGACACTGACTAGCACTTCTGTTGATATCAACTGGTCCAAGAAAGAACTTGTGGGTAATATCAGTTATTGCAAGGACCAAGAATTAAATATATATATATCAAGACATTTGAAGGTATTGATAGCTAACCTAAGTTTGTATTTAACCAGTAATTAAACTGGTTTATATTAAACCAGTTTTCCCTCCTTTCCTCTTTAACTGGGCTCTCCTTAGATAAAATAGGTTCACAGAGAGGAGATCCAAGCTCTGACATGTCATCACTAGCAGACTAACAGTAGTGAGAAGACAAGTGTGTTGCAATACATCTGGTATGAAAGTCTGAGGGAATAGTATAAAAGAAACTATAAGTTGAAGTAGAAAAAAGCATGTGAAAAGAATTGCAAATTAAATATGGAAATTCTTACTCTACATTTAGTCAGACTGCAAAAAAACTAAGTTCAATACAAGAAGAAAAAGAATTATTGCAATACAAACCTTTGATATGTGTTCGATGCTTCCGAGCAAATCATGCTCTCTTTCCGTCTTCCACATTCACAATGGAGATCGACCTGTTGTATCGACAAGAGACAGCAGCTCTTTGAAACTACTGTACTTTTGTGGGAAAGAAAGGAAGTAAATACAGTCTTTCAAAATTTCCAGTTTTAATGTCAGTTGCTACTTTAACATGATGGATAATTTTAAAAAATACCTCATGTTTTTCAATATTCTAAGTTTATAACAAAAAATACCGTGATACCAGTATATCAATGTGATCCTTTTTGTCACTGCTGCCAGGTTGCCAGTGATTAAACTATGCAATTTGCCTGTAGGTTAAAATGAATTTTCATTAGGCATCTAACCTTAGCAGAGCAGGAAGTTGTTGGACAGGGTGAAGAAGGATGACATGGAGCCATACAGGGATGACTGCAATATAGCCTTGGAATAGTACATGGCTGTTTACACTCTTCATCTATAAGACATTCTCCTTTATGACAGATTCTTTTACATTTGTGCATTCCACATTTTAACATTTGATTGCAGCGAAGTCCGCAGGAAATATCAGTGAGATGACAGGGAATATTACTCCGCAGCTGGAAGACAGGAGGAGGAAGGTATCACCTTAAGACTACAAACCAGCAACTATAAAAGCAAATCTTGCAGTACTTTTACTGTTCACACCTCATTTTAGTATTGCCTGTGCAAGAACCTTAATACTAGGATGTTTTAAGACAACACTAGAGTTTTTCTTAATTCCAGACACCAATATGGCAGTCGGTTCAAATGACAGGACATGAAGTATCTACTAGGTCAAATTAATCACATTAAATGCAAGCACCAGCAATATAATCTACTCCAAAGAAACAATAAAAAACTAAACCTTCAGTTTCAGAGAGTCAGTAACAAATACTTATTTTATAAGTTCCGTAAAAAGCATATCATGAACATGAACAAATATTTTTCAAGCATTATTTAGCATTCAAAAAAACCACTGTGGTTGGACTTACTTCATGTTTGCCCATACACCATTTCTGGGTGAGATAGGTACATGGTGGACATTTCTCCTCGCTATGACACGAATGGTACACTGCAGGCACAGAAATACAAAAAGCAAAGAGCTTTAATCCTATACTCCAGTTAAAGGCTTTAAAGAAGATTGGAAGGACTAGTAAACATGAGTTAGTACTTCAGAACAACACAACTTCAGAGAAGTAGGATGCTTCATGCAAGTATAACCTGTTCTTTAAAACACTCCTGAAAAATTAAGATGGCAGACTTTTAGGTGAATATCCTTCCCTGTTTTCTGAAGTGGCAGAAAATAGCAAACATTTGTATCTTCTGAGCAGGATTGTGCTATTAGATTGTTTTTTCAGAAAATACATCTTTTGCTCTACAACAGATCTCAGCTCTCTATCTCACAATCAGACATTGTAATTTCAGGAAAATTAGAAATAAATGATTAGATTACCCTACTGTTTCAACAGTGCTCAATCTTTATAATATACTAATCTGTTATGATTATTGATAGTGTCTAAAACTTGCTGTCTGGATCACAAAGGAAAATAGAGCATTTTAATAGCCAGAAGTACCACTACCTCTTCAAAGCAACCAACGAAATATTTGCCATAAATACAGATAATGAGAAATACTAGCAGCTACTGCAAAAGGTGATAATATAAAGTATTTTCAAACGGCCCCCTGAACTGTTTACTACATTTTCATAGTTGTCTTGTCTGTTTGTTTAAAGCTGAGCAGCCAGTGAGTCTGCCTTACCTGGATGATCACACTCATGTGGCCTGGTGCACGTTCTTTTACATTCCGGGGGCTGGGTGCCACAGGGGACTGGGGGGTAAATCACTGATTCGCCACAGTAACAAGTTAACTCGTCAAAACCTGAAAGGGCCAAACCACAGAACACACACATCTCAATGCCTACAGTTTATGTATGCTGTTCAACTTATTATCTGCTCAAAAAATGGTAACGAAATGGTACTGATCACTGTTAAAGCACTTGAAATATCATATTTCCCATCTTAGGGAGAAGACTGCAGAGAATAAAAACGAAGGTAAAAGGAATAATAAAGCCATTAGACAAAAAATGAGAAAATATATGCTGTAAATTAAGATATATAAACCTTTATTTAACAAATTCATTATATCACCCTAATGTGGTTATGGATGACAAAAGAAGGAGCTTTAGTTGGTCCCTACAGAAGCCTTAGGGACCTTTCTGGTCCCCTAATGCCAAACTCGGAGTACTCCAAAACCCAGGAGGTTTCTCCTGTCCCCATGTGATGGATGGGGCTGCTGCTGTCCCAAAATACAGGTCCAGCGCAGAGCAAGACAGGGAGACAGACACAAATAATACACACACAGCAACAGCATGACTGGATGTAGATCTCAAATACCAACAATATTCATATAAACTATTACATCTAACAACTCATCTAATATTAACTAACTCTCATCTATGAAAAATACCAATTACAGTCACCTGCCTATTCTCAGATTCTGACCAATTCTAACCAGGTTCTGTTTCCAGCTCTGACCAATTACATCCATTTAACTTTGAAGTCATACAGAAGTCTTGCATTTAACTCACTTGTCTGCCAGCACGTTTGGCAGCTGCCTCGATGGCAGGGTTCTTCACACCTATGAAGCCCACAGTTGAGTTTGCGCCCGCAAACCAAAGAACATTTATGCTCTGTGTCCTAGGGGAGGGCAGAAAGGAAAAGCTGAGTTAGGAAATCCATTCGTGTCTATGGCCTCTCTGAGGTCCACCAATTATCCAAGCACATAGTACACTAGATAGCTTTGACCTGATCTTTATGTGTTTCACCACTATATGGATATAGAACTTTTAAAGCTGATTCTGTTAAGATCTCTAGTTCAGATGTAGCTAGAAACTGATACTTCACTTACAAAGTTATTGTCCTTCTCTTTCAGGTTGGTTGGAACTGTTTTACATATTATAATAATACCCATAAACTGAATGCTGCAGAATTAGTATAGGTACATAAACATCTGAGTAGGAGCAGTACTGCAGACTGAAGGTGCACCAACACGCAAATGTGGAGAAACAAAGGAACCTTAAAATTCATAACCATAACTGAATGTGCTACTCGATGAACAACAAAACCAACCAGGTGAACTTACCACACAGCAAATTTCATTACATTTGTGTCGCCCACATGACCTTTTCTTGTTGCATCGTTTGTCACACATGAATGTAATAGCAGCTGTTCGCAAAGAGGACAAAACATGACTTTTCTTAAATTTCTGTTCATTGCAAGAACAAAAGCAGATGTACAACATGACACTGCGCTAAGTTTGTTGCAAGACCTAGTCTTGTGCAATAAAACAAAAATGAATCTAAGTATACAGAAAGAATGAATTCCAGGGGATTCTAGGGAATGAATTTTCCCTAGACCAAGATTCATCAAATAGTTGCAAAGATTCTACAGGATAAAAATTAGGTTTTAGAAATCAACTGAACAAGTGGTGTTTTTAAGTACTCTCAAGACCACCGTGGCCAAACCAGGGGAGGGAGTGGGAACAATGATGACAACTTGTTGAATATGGTAGGTGGCATAAAAAACTGCTCAAAAATAGAAACTTGGTCTGGAGTCTTCCAAATTAACTGCTAAAGAACTTTTTTCTTACAAAACAGATGAGTAGAGGCAAGAGGTTTATTTCAAATCAGAAATGACCAACCTGGCACAGAAACACAAGGAAGTGTGGCAGCACTGATCAGATTATATTTACCAACTTTTTCAAACAAAATCAAAGTTAGTATGAACTTCAGTATTTTAAAAATGGTTTCACAATGCAAACATAACATTATAACATACCTTTATTTCTCAGGAGCGTACATGGGACTTCCTAGGAAACAAAGACGTAGTCATTGCATCAAAATTATTATCTGGAAAACGTTTAGTCAGTTGTGATACAGAAGAACTCTGTTTTAACCTTCATAATTGCTCTATATACAACAATAAAAGCTAGAAAAATCTTCATTTGTGCATTATTTTGCACATTTTAATTTACCATTTCAGTCTTGAATCTTTTAACGTTGTAGTTTTTCTTCAGAGCTTCAGCATGAAGAATTTCAGTTTGACGTCCCTCGCTTAAATCGGGCTACCTTTCTCTTAGTTTATATAACTCTTGGAAAACCACTGTGGTTTGTATCACACAAATAGAGCATGATAACACAAGACTTTGAAACCAGCTCAAATAAGCAGAGCTGTAAAGGCTGTAAAACTAATTCAAAGAATGGTCTCTAGGACAAGTGGCCTCCGCTAGCACTTCCCAGTATAATCCAATTAGCTTTTTTAGTAGCAAGAATGACAAAAGCTCCCAGGAGCAGCACAGCATCTTCTTGGTGCTCTTGTACTTCATGGCTTTCTTTTCCTCAAAGAGATAAGCTCCTTTTTCTCCCCAGCTTTAAAAAACCATGAAAGATAACTTCTTTCCATGGTCCAGCTTTATACACTCACCTTTTTTTTGAAGCCACATCGACAATAAATATTTGATGTGCGAGAACATGGTCTACAATCTCCCTCATGGCAAAGGCTTTCACATCTATGAATAAACTCTTTCAAGAGAAAAACAGAAAGGTAACATTAATACAAATTAATTTAAAAAATAATCACCTGGAACTTGGTATTTATTAGGAGCACCACTGTCTACCACTGTCCACAGATAAGATGCATTATGTACAATTGGGTTTCCAAATAAGCAATATTCTGCATTAAATATGCACAAAACATTTTAATATTAGAAATCTACCTTTTGCAAGTACTTTCCAGTTTAAAATCCTGAATATATACATAGACTAGAGTTTCAGGTCTATAATGAGTATTTTAAAAAGCCGAAACTCTGCATTTGTACATTAACGTATGAAAAAAATCTGATTTTGTAGAACAAATATATAAATTTCTCTTCCTTTTTAGCCTTAATGACTTGCTATGTATACTGTCACTTTTCATTCTTTCTGATTAACTCCATTCAACTAAAACTTAAATTGCCCATTCCCTTTCTATTTGCAGTCCTTTAAATAAGGCTGACTGAGGGGTTCAGTCATTGCTAAGAGGTGCTGAGCACCTCTTAGGTACCAGCAGCCCTGGTGCTCTCCAGAAGAGAGATTTCACCGTTTCACAAACTGCTGGTAAAGTTAGAGCTTCAGACAATCCCACAGGTAAATTAAGTTACTTAATGCACTCATTTAGGTGTCATTATTTTGGCATATTAGCCCCTCCCTTTAAGCATCCAACATAACTTTTCCCTCATGGTCTTCCTATATCAGCAGGAAACGACTATTTACTAAAGGCACATGAATGAGTCAGGACATTTAATTCTGCTCTAATAGACTTCACATAAAAGACACAAATACCTTAGTGGGCTTTTGAAAGAACACAGCAGACACTACTCTCTAGAAATTCCCACAGCTCTCCCAATAAAGAAGTCCATGTAAACAAGATTTCAAAGGCTAATTTTTTTTTCCCCTGAACAGATACATTTCCCAGTATTACTGTGACAGAACACAGCCAGGTTGCAGACTCTGCAGTGACTTTTTCGCTCAATTCAATTATGCTCAAAATCACCAAGAAAATATTTTTTTTTGAAATCAAGGACCAATTCAATAGCACTGAGGTACTTCCAACATTCCAATGCAAAAAGTTCTGATTACCATAGCTCCCACAAGAGAGGGGTTTGCCGCACGTTTTTCCACACGACGGGATGGGATCTGTGCATAACTTCCGTTCAATACAGCCCAGTTCCAGTAACTTGCTGAGAGGAGTCTGGCCACAGGGACAGCGATACACTACCTGGGGAAGCCGTGGACAGAGCTGGCAGGGCTGGGGATGACACACTTGTGTGCAGTTGTGTCTCCCACAGTTTAATTTCCTGGGGGGTGGGAAGAGGGAAGAGCAAAAAAGGAGGGGAAAAAAGCATTAAGAACATTGTGATCACCAAGTATGAATAAAATTACCTTTTTCTCTTTGAAAGCTTAAACCAGTGACCTTACTTGCCACATATCTTCTGACATGAGAAATTCCCAAATCCATCCGAGAATTCTTCCTTTGTCCCACATAATACATCTTTAAAGTTGCTCCCACAGTAACACACTAAAAGGAATATGCAAAAAAAAAGCCAAAAAAAGAAGAAAATAATACCACCAAAAAATATCTGCAACAGTAAATACATAAAGATAGAAAATGATAAATTGCTATCACTTTTTAAAAGGATAATGAAGCTGCTTTTCTGGAGATGTACTTCAGCTACATAGATCTCAATTCTGCAGAAACTGATAATTCTATTTTAGTTGTATTGATAAGAAGAGAAAACAAGGGAAATTATTGCCTCCACAAGAAAGCTAACTTGTTGAAGCAGTATATGTAATCAAAGCTAACTATTACTGTAAAGAAGAAAGAAAATGTTTGCAGCTTTCTTTATATACCATTCAACAAAAACATAATAGTATACTTGCTTATATTCTTAGACATCCTCATTCCCATTCAAGACCAAACTTAGAATATCTTTAAACAGAAATGAAAAGCCATTTGTTGTGATGTGTTTTCATGCAACATTTTCTATTCTTTTTTTTTAATCTTTCAAAATAGGATCATAGACAACTCAGGCTGGAAAGGACCTGAGAAGCTCATGTAGCCCAGGTCCTTGCTCAAAACAGGGCCAGCTCTGAGGCCAGACCAGGTTACTTGGGGCTTTCTCCATCTCGGGCTTGAGGACACCCAGACGTGGAGGCTGCCCAGCCTCCCTGGGCTACTGCTCCGCTGGCCTCACAGGGGACAAAGTTTTCCTTGGAGCCAGGTGGAACGGGCCAGTTCAGCCTAACCCCACTGCCTCATCCTCCCAGCGCACGGAGCCTGGCCCTGCCTTCCTGACCACCTCCTGCCAGGCACTGAAGGGCTCCTGTCAGGTCCCTCCCAAGGGAAGGGACCCTCCTCGGGGGGATCCAGCCCAGTTCTACCAGCTCAGCCCACAGCACATGTCCCCATGAACCCAAAGCACCTCCACAGGAGCATTCTGCCCTCATTTATACTCTTTTTAAATACATAGTAATGATTAACTATGTTTCATGAGTTAAAGACTCTAGGAATAGATTTTTTTTCTTTTTTTTTTTTTTTTTTCTTTTCCCTCCATTTTTGCTAGCAAAAGGTGGACGTGCATAAAATATTCTGTTTCTTACCTTGCTGGACTACTAGTTGGCAAGGGGAACATTTCCCTGCATGGCACACTTGGGCACAGCTGTGCTTACCACAATTTAAAGTATTTCCACAGACATTAGAGCAACGAATTGCTGTTGACTGGCCGCAGCGAACTGAGTGACTGTGGAGAAAAAGCACCAGCTATTAGCTCTCAAAGTCCTCAGCACATTTGCTTATTATCAGAAGAGCTGCTAAGAAATCTTCACCCTCTCCCCACTTCACCAGTTTATTTCCAACACACAGTTTGTGTTGGTTATGCCCACTATTGCTCATTGTGGAATCACCACAAATGGTGACAGAAAGCAGGGGCAGGACAGTCTTGCTGCTGGCTCCGATTCTGTATATATCAAACACACAAAGAAACACATCTTCAAAATTGGAGCATGCTACAGCTCTGCTTCCCACAGCTGATATGTTATTTCTGAAATTTAATTACTACGCCTGGAATTGAATAACTCAGCACTGTGTCCCATTTAAACAGAGAAGATCTTTCTACTTCTTTATATGAATCTTCCACAACAGGACAATTCAACTCTGTGTATCATATTTGATTTCAATGCGGCCAGCTGTATCCATAGAATTATAATGGTTGGAAAAGACCTTTAAGATCACCAAGTCCAACCAAGTCCTGGCCTCGATGGTTCCTGTGCTCACCTGCAGCTGCAGAAAGCACCAGCTCTGGCAGAGCCGGTTTCCTGGTTTCCTCGTGTCGCTCACATTGCTCTGTCCATGTTGACTCGCTCCCGTTTGTCACAGGGCAAGTTCCCAAGTCGGCTAAATTAACATTCCATTAACTAAATCAATGGCTTTGATTCTGAAAGACTTTGGGAAGGCCTCTGCTCACAGAATTCCTACTACTTCAGGGGAGGTCAGAACGCAACCATTGCTGCTTATAGGGGCACTACAGGAGAGAACATGGCCACAACACCGGACATATTCTTCTCTTTTTAAAGGACAACTGTAAAAAGAATTGTCCCCTCCCTTTTTAAAATACACTTCTCTGACAAATTTAGTCAGTAAACATTAATGCTCAGAAACAGAAGCATTCTCACCTCGTTCGCCCGCATTCACAGGTTTTGGTCACAAAGGCCGGGCACGAAGGGCAAGGTCCTGGATGGCAGAGGCTAAAAATAATTTTAAAAGAAAAAAATTACACTGTGTTTTCCTCTAACTTTAAAACTCTCACAGGGAAAAAAAATCTGTAGTGCGACAGAATTATAAACATTTTAATGTAACAGTAAAAAAAGAAAACAGAATGTTATATATGTAACCTTTAATCTTGAAGGATATTAAAATATTAACACTTGATAAAAAAGGAGATAATGACACCTCCATTGGTCTCTCAAGTCTCCTAAGACAATGAAACTTAAGCAAAACTTCGTATTTCTCTGCTGTCACATCAGTAGCAACAGTTACCAAGGCATTTCCTATTTTGCATCTCAGCAGCTAGGACACATCAACTCAAGCCTGCTAGTCCCTGACAACCCTTAAAACGAACTGGGCTGGTCCAAACCATTAGTAACATCTTCTGCCTTCCACAATCACCCATTGCTTTAATAGTTTAGCGAAAAACACTTCTCTGAAGTTTCTCCTTTTGCTCTGGTGACTTTACCTTTTAGCTCAGCAACAGGTGAGGCAGGAGCCTTTGGGCTCTGGATAACAATCCCCCCTCACAGAAGGGGCTGCCTACCACAAACATAGTGTCTGGCCTGCCTCAGCTGCTGCTCCCCTCCAGCAGCTGCAGTGTCCTGCGAGGGTGACCAACGCCAGCCCTCTGCTTGTACATCAGCCTCGACCTTCTGCTCGGAGACAGTCCCTCTGCTCAGCTGCTTCTGCTCAGAGACAGTCTCTCTCTGCCTCTTTTAGCAAGATCTCTTAGGGATCGATAGGCCTAGGTTGTCAAGTTACATTCTACCAACTTGTCTGCACTCTTCCCTAGCCAGGTCCCAGTTCCCTCCCTTTGCAAATCAACAACTCTCACTAGGAACAAATTTGGGATTATTTAGTAGGACCGGCCAGTTCAGATGCCCTTGCCAAAAAGCAGTTACTCATCTCCTAAATCCACAAAGTGCTGCCTTTGTTAGAGGCAGCACCTGACAACCACCTCACATCAGCAGTTTGTCACCAGGGCTTCTGCTGCCTTCTTCCTCTACCTCCTCCCTTTTGATTATAAGGCCTAACCTACCATCCAGCTTGTGCTAGCACCAGCAGTGAAGCTGAGCCACTGTCAAGCCAAAACGTTAACTCAGTTTTAAAAGTCCCTTTGGAGGGGTCAGTTGATCCTTCTGGCCTCCTGAAGTGAGCATTAGAGCAGACTAGAGAAAAAAGAGATAGAACAGCTGGATGAAGAACGGAGAAAACAGGAAAGACAAGAGAAGCAGTAAAAAGACTATGCCATTAAATAGGGTTTTTTATCTTATTTATTGATTATGATTTCTTGATATTGATTTTTGACTGATTAAACCAATCAAAGAAGAACATGTCATGGGATTTCATCCTTAATGAGAACTAATGTTGCATCAGAAAGAAACCTCTCGTGTGAAGGACATAGCTCCACAGTGCAACAAATTTTACCATCTTGACTTCAATCTACCAAGACCCATGCAAAACCTAAAGGCATGAAATCAGATCAGAAATAAAAGCATTTGATTAGAAGTAAGTATCAATTCGAAATACCACATATGATCTAAGTCTTAACTTCAAGGAGGAAGGGGAAAGATGAAACTCCCAGAAGTCTTGTCACACTAAGTTTGCTACCTGGCATACTATTTTCCTCAACATCACCATATTCAAACCATTATCCTTTTATATTTTGCCTATGCAAGTACAATCTTGATCCTCTTTATAATGACGTCTTACCAAATGTTAACAGCTTACCGTACCGACCAAGGCTACTTTTGCATCTTAAGTATCTATAAGAGGCTGCACTTTTATAGGAAGTTTTCTTCTGACATACTGTTAGTAAAGTTTTAATAACACGCCTTCATGACACAGTTTTAAATAAGCTGGTGTCATTATAAGTAATGAAAAAAAATCTGCAAATGCAGATTTTGGAAATGGAAATTTACATTTTGGAAATGGAAAAATTTCCATTTGGAAAAAACGGAAAAAAGATTTTGGAAATGGAAAAAAAAATCTGCAAAAAATATTGCAAATGGCAAAAACAGGCCTTGGAAACCAAACTTGCAATTTAAAAAAAAAAGAGTGCCCTTTATAGATCATTCACACACTTAGTGAAAAGCTTTGGCATGATTTTTATGCAGAAGCTAGGGGACGGCTCCAGGACTTGGACAATAGAACAGTTAAGACAGCATGTGCACACACACACACAGAGCACAGAAAGTTCTTAGATGATAAAGGTAGGTGATACAGTCTGTTTAAAGGGACTCGCCAAAAAAAAAAAAACAACCACAGCAAACTGACTTAACAATGTCACAAGTACATTAAAAAAAAAAAAAAAAAAAAAAAAAAGGCAGAAGCTGAAGGCTTCAGTATTAAGTCTTCTGCTCCTTATATACATAGTTTTACTTTCACTGCAGCCCAATCATCAGTCATTAGCACAGATGATTTCTTTCAGGAGCCATTGCTGCTGCTACGGAGAACAGGCATATAGGAAAAGCTGTTGTAATGACAGATGCAGCTGAACACCAGGAAAGAAAAACAACAGAACAAAAACCTGTATTTGGAAGTGAAAATACTAGGTAGCCTAACACTGCTCAAAGGTACATCCAGGAATTGCCACGGAGAAGATCAATGAAAGCAGAAGCAGCCACTCAACTACTAGAGTGTCATTCGCTGCCTTTGCAAGAGCTCTCTCAAACACTGTCATGATTTCAGTTGACAGGAAGAATTCAGAGTTTTAAACTTTAAGAGCTTAAACTTCAGAGACGGTATAGGTTTTTTTTGTTTGTTTGTGAAGGATAAAAAAGTGACATTCATTTAAGTGACAGAATGACCTTAATTTAAATGTTTTTAAACCAAAAACTTAACTCCTTACCAAACTAGTTGTCTTAAGCACACCACAGCTCATGCTGGTAAGAACCTGAATGTTTGCTCGCTGAGAGAGCAAGCAGACTGCTCTCAAGCAGCTGCTTGTCTCTTCCTCAGCTCTGCCAACAAAGCTGCTTATATAAATATAAAATATCTCAATAAAGCTGAGTGAATATTAGGTGAAGATCTATCGCTAACAGAGTGTAAATTAACCTCCCTCCTTTTCCCCAGCACGGTTTAGGTAGTGCCACACTCACATAAGCACCTAATTAACACTGTCAAGGGCACAGTGAAATGCTTCCCATAGCTGGGCAGGCCCTAACATGTATAATACGTGTTAAACATGAACACAAATAATACAAGGAGCAGAAGAGGAAAGCACAAGAACTACACCATGGAGGGGAGATTAATGCAATGCTGTTTATAGTCAGAGAAATACAGATTAAGGAAATACCAAATGCAAAAATAAACTTATAACCAAACACAAGACTGAAAAGTCAAACTTCGACAACAAGAAGGAAAAAAAAGCAGAGAAGGATGAGACTAAACAAACTTTTTGGTCTATTCCAGTACCACTGCTCCAAATTTAAGACATCCATAATGCTGCTATATGAAAAGAAACTGCTGAACTGTCTGTCCAAGCACTAAGCATGCATTTCGATGACTTCTCTGCACTACTTCAACAGAAGTTCTTCAAGCCAAGTTAGGCAGCTGGTTCACTTCTTATGATATGATGGAAAAGATTTTAGGTGGCCTCCTGTCTGTGCTCTTGTAAGGGCCCATGTTACACACACAAACAACAAACCTGCATTTCTTTCATTCAGTTTCATTCATTCAGCTTCAGCTGAACAAACTATAAACCAGATATACGTACATCCTATAGCCAAAGGACATCTGAATACGGTTTTTCACAGTGTTTTGTAGGATCACTACAAGGTATTTTCATGATACATGTTTACTTACATGTTACAAAGATGTGGACAGTCCAAACACTGTCTCCTCTTTCCACAGAGTTCTCCACAGCTATGAGGAATTTCATTTCTATTCCATTCAGGATTGTTTACCTTACCTAAAACACGGTAGAGGCAAAAAACACATTTATTGACTTCAGTATGGTGCTGAATTTTAGAAGAATATCACACCACCCAAGAAAGTCGTTTTTTCAAATCTCACAGTAGTATGCCTAGAAATACAAACAAAAACTGAAACGTGTATGATTTTTTTCATCTTTCATTGATGACATTTACCTGTCACTTCACATCTTTAAATGTATATTGGATTAGCCCTGCAAATTAGAATTGGAATTAAATTTCCAAGGGATTCTTTCCTCTTATGCTCTTAGCAGGCATTTCAGTATCTAGTATTTGACATTAATTATCCATTAAAATATAAGAAAATGAAAATTTGCATTTAGTTCGGCAGGCTTCATATTTAGTAAGCTTTTGCTGCTTTGATACAGAAAAAATGCCAATATTCCCCATAAGATTCAATGTGTTAGGAGCAGAAGGAAGAGATTGTGCAAAATATATATAAAACACTCCTCTAAAGAAACCCTCTGTACAGACCAAAATATCATTTTTTGACATTTTGATGAATGTAGCAGGAAGTCGTGAACAGAAGTCATAATTTCAATAACTTAGCCTCATATATTACATAGGAAGAAGTATTTCTGAAGAACACTGAAGCCATATTTTAATTAATTTCACATATTTTTAGCAAATCTCACAGCACCTTGTGTAGGAGGTAATTGCCAGGGTCATGTTTTATTACAAACAAACCTAACCTGGCTCTTTAAGAGGAGAATTAGATAAACAACAAAGTAACTGATCCAATGCCACAATTTTGAGTTCCAACTTTAAGAACAGCAAAAAAATGTATATGTAACGATATACTTGTATCATGTTAACTTTTAGACCTCCTTAGTTCTAAGCTACAAATCAGGAAAAGTTGAAAAAAATGAAAAAAACTTAGCCACAGATAGCATTTCTCCTCCTGAACTTCAGTTAAACTGTTAGTATATGACCAGGAAAGTCTGGAAAGTTATAAAAATCAGGGGAAAAAGAAAAAAAGAAAAAAAAAAGGCCACAGAAAATTTCCCCATGCAAAGACGAAAAAAGCAACATTTGACACATTCTACAGATAATTAGTATATGGCAACAAATACAAGACAGCTTTGGATCAACAACCAGTAATGTCTGACTACCCTAGATCTAATGTCAAATTATCCACAGAAGATTCAAGATTCCTGCTCCATCATGGTGCTCTTCTCATACTGACTTTGTGGACATCCTGGGCTTCCTGCTGTAGATCCAACAGGTTCTAAGTGTAGGCAGAATTTCCTTTCTATTGCTTAGCAATAATTTTTATTTTGGAATCAACATATTCATTCAACCTGATTCATTATCCATACACTCATACAATGTCACACAACTCGTGATACTGCCATACATAAACACTAAATGTCTTACCCTTTGCTCTTCACTGACTCACTCCACTACTTAGATCAGGAGAACTTTAGACACAGGTGTTACCCAGTACAACATAACCTACGTTCCTTAGGGGAAGCTCACTGATTCCCAGTTCCTAGCTCACTTCCAGAGCACTGCCTTTTGTAGGAGACAGGGTGAAATGTCCTGTGACAGACAGGCTTGGCACGTGAAGTGCCAGCTAAGTGAAATCAACAGAAATTTCTAAAGTAAAGCCCAATATTAATTATAATATACTAACATGTATTCACATTAAGTAACATCATTTATTTCCTCCTCTTTTTGACATATAAATGGCTTAGTGAATGGTATAGTGAATGGCAGCCTAATTTGTTTCTTTTATTAGGCCTACCTTGACATAAAGGTCTGAATAAGTTCAACGCTCCTTACTATTTCACTTGTACATCTCCCTGATCAATATAAATGATTAAATGCTAGATCAAAAATCTTATATATTCATTTTCTTATTTTATATAAATATATATATATATTCTTTTTTTCTTATAATAATATCAGTTGTATGGTTGAATTGTGTATTATTTTAGTGCACCTTGCCACAACAGAAAATATAACAGACATAGTTTCTTCCTTCAGACATAGTTTCTTCCTTCCTTCCTGACTTTCCTTCAGTCCTTCTACAGAAGGAAAGTTTTTAGGCCAGTAGCCAAATTCAAGTATTTTTTATTTAGTGTTGTGCAACCATTCATAAACTACGACTTCTCCTTTTTCATGTTTCAAGCAACAAAAATGGGAGTGACTCTGTGCAACAGCCTTTAGTGCAAGTGAAATTTTAACTAAGCACACATTTTAGGGATGCAGAAAAGAATAACTCAACAAAACTCAAACAACAACAGGATAATATCGTTCCTGTTTGCAGAAAAAAACAGCAAGAAACTCACCACAGAAACAAGTGTAAGTTGTAGGAACTTGCGTAGAAGCGTTCTGACAAGCTGGACATCTCCAACCACTATTACCATCTGTAGATAATTAAAAAATAAAACTTAAAGTAATTAAAGGAGCCAATTTGGGACTGTAGAATAAACACTATTATCATATCACTTTCATATAAAGGTAAGGACAAATCTCAGAAGTTTTATGCACCGCATAGAAAAACAAGGCTTATCTTATATACACCATTATAGGACAACATTCTGTTTTACAGAGCATAGATAGACTTCATACCTGAAAATACAGGGAGGGGGAAGCAATAAAACATGGGAAATTGGTGAGAAAGATCTTCCAGTCTTAAGAATCTTAAGTCTTAAGAAAATCACCTATTTTTTTTGTCATCCTCTCATGACGCCAGTTTAAATGCAGAAGGCCTGTAGAAGACCACTTTAGTACTGATTCATATCCAGATTAAATTAGTGCTACATAAATTATTATTTTTAAACATACTTAAAAGCTGACTACACATATCTGTGGATAATGACACTATTGCTGTTTAGTAAGACAGTAATTTTCTTGTCTGTGTATTTCAAGAAGATGTAGGCCCACGGGCAGCTGAGCTGAGGTGCACATTTGTAAACATCTTCCACCTGCCCACAACGTTAACTATCTTTAATCCTCCTCACTGCTATTAGAACAGCTCCTTGTCTTGCCAATTCTGTGTTAAGCCCACAGAACAGTGCACAAGGAGATCAAAACTGGAGCCTGAGTTTATAGTTCATCTAAAATCGGCTTTCTAAAAATAAAAAAGCTCCATGTATAAACAGATGAAACAAAATACTGCTGCAGAGGTATATGATGGGAAGGTGGCCTCAATACAGGGGAATGTGCAATCAGAAATGATTTGACATTTCTGAAAGACACACATTTGCATATGGTAAAGGCATCATACATCAAGCTAGATGAGGGACTATATTCCGTAACGCAATCACTGAAGAGGACTTGGAGTTTAGATATAATCATCCATATGTGAATTCTAAATTCCTTGACACCAAGAAAAGCTGTTTGAATGTATGAAAGTTTCTGAAGGTAAAAACATTCTGCTTGCTCAACTAAACTCAAAAAAAAAAAAACCACCAAGATACAGCAAATAAACAGCTTTCATCCCATTTTAAAGCCTCCAAGATTGGAGATTTTGTACTTGTAAGTACAATATCACAAGGGCATAAGTCAAAAGGTAATGCCTCCTTGGTGTTTAAGAGGGATGGAGAAGAAGCGGGTAAGACACTTAATACTCTTTCCCTTTGGAACAATAAAGAGAACAAGGAAAATATCAACTTTAATACAGGAACTGGGGTCAGATTAACCTTGGCTGAGCCACATCTAAAGGTCACATTCCTCCAAGAGGAATATCCAAGGTGATACAAAATGTTAGGGGAAAAAAATGCTTGTTAAGGAGAAAAATATCTTCTTTCTTACAGAAGCGAAAAATTAAAAATTAAAAAAAAATAAAAAAATAAAAAATAAATAAAAAAAAACAGTCTTCCTACATGATGGCAAAGCGATATCCAGTTAAAGCCCTCCTAGGGCGCTAGGACATCTCTATTACAGACTGAACACATGTTCTTTTTGTCAGAGGGCAGCGCAGGCCTCCTGTGGAAATATGAACATTGAGTCTCCAGGAGCAGAATTATCCATTAGTATTGATCTGGAAAATGAAGCAAAGTCAGAAAGATACAGTACAGTATGTACAGTGATGCTGTATGGCTTCATCCAAGAAGGATGCAGGAGCACTTTCCTTCAGACAGCCTCTACAATTCATCAGGCTCTAAAAGGAATATATTGCTAGAAATAACGTACACATACTCTGTACTTACAATTCCTGTTGGGCCCTGTAGAATTACAAGCTGCCATAATACTCTCAATGAAATAATAAATTGTTTTGAAAACCTAACAGAATGAACACAAACTAATCCTGTCAATGAAAGATGTTCAATAGGATGGAAGCCAAAGGTAGCAAATGCAAAGGTTGGGTGCTGAGCTTAGGTGAGATTTCACAGCATTCATTACACATCTGCAGAACTGAGCAGATTTAAAAGTAAACTTCTTTCAGAAAAACACCAGTTATTGGCCAAATTGTGGACTTGGGTGGATTACAGTGTCCTATTTCTGTTCTGGCTGACAATAATTACTGCTGGAATTCTAGTAATCACATTTATGTTACACAAAGCTTAGAAAGTAGAACCTACACTGGAAACAGCCTACCATGAAAATACAAATACACTATGAAAGAGAGAGTGCCTTACAGGTAAACAAATACACGCCAGTGTCCTTACTGGAGTCATGGATTCAATTCTACTAAAGCTATTGTCTTTAATTCAATTTTTTTTTTCAGTTCTTTCACATGCAAGATCCAAAACCAAATCTGCTCCACAAGTTCTTGTAGGAAAAGCAAATGGCCATTTGAAAAGCTGTCAAGATTAAACTACCTGCAAGCAAAACCTCCCTTGCACAAGCAGATGCTCTTCTGATCAGTCACTGAGGATGGCTCAGGGAGCTGATCATCCTTTAGGACGGTTCATGAGGCTACATAAGCAGCAAAGAAAGCACCAGAGAAACAGCTAGGAAATAAAAGTTCTGAGCAGACCCTCTCAGCTGGGCTTAGGATTTCATATAAGCACACTCTGTTCCTTTCTTAAACATTCTGGTATGTTTGAATTTTGTATCATTTCTACTGTCATTACGGAGAGTGACTACCAGGCCTCTCCAGAAGTCCAGGCATCTTAGGAAATTAACGCAACCTGTGAAGTCGCAGCCTGGGCAACCTTTGAAGTCACAACCTTTGCACTTCACCAACTCCTTTTTAAGGGCTTCTCTCGAACATTCCCGCTTTGATTAGTCCTCAAAACATCCAAGGAAGTAAGACATCTGCCCAGACACACACAAAGAAACCCAGAAGAACGGTAAAGCCTTAAGTGGCAGGGTATTGAAAAATTAACACTCTAATAAGATGAGAATCAGTGTCTTCAGAAGACATCTATATCACACAACAGAGTAAAACACCGAGAGGCTACAATTGAGCCTTATTTTACACCAAAACATTCTCAGGGCGGAATGCCATGATGTACTGTTTCAAAAAGGGGTATAATAAAAAGAATCTAAACTAATGATAACATAGAAGCTTTTTGCCTTCCTGGACCTGGAGTACTGTGTCCAGTTTTGGGCTCCCCAGTACAAGAGGGATGTGGAGCTGCTGGAGAGAGTCCAGCGCAGGGCTACCAGGATGATCAGGGGCCTGGAACATCTGCCCTATGAGCAAAGGCTGAGAGCTGGGTCTGTTCAGCCTGGAGAAGAGAAGGCTGAGGGGGGACCTGATCAGTGTCTCTAAATACCTCAAGGGAGGCAGTGAGGAGGAGGGGGCGGCCTCTTTTCAGTGGAGGCCAGCGACAGGACTAGCTGAGGCACCAAAAGTTCCACAGGAACTTAAGGAAACACTTCTTGCCAGTGAGGGTGCCAGGGCCCTGGCACAGGCTGCCCAGAGAGGTTGTGGAGTCTCCTTCTTTGGAGATCTTTAAAACCCGCTTGGATGCAGCCCTGTGCCACGTGCTCTAGGTGACCCTGCGTGTGCAGGGGGGTTGGACTCGATGACCTCTGAGGTCCCTTCCAACCTTGGGCATTCTATGATTCTATGACCTTATTTCACTGTGGCATTAATGATGGATTTCAGTAGTATCTTATCTCAAAACAGAACTACAAAGTGATGGTACAAAAGCAGACAACCAAGAGCTGGAGTGTTGCTTTTCCCATCCATGTTTGGCAAATGGGAGAGGAGACAATTCTTGGTGTGCACAGCCACAGAGCTCTGCATCTTGATGCAAAGATTTTACTGAATGCTCTTCCATTTATGTATCCAAACCTGGAAACTGGTCTGGCCAGAATACTTGCAAGTATTAAAAGCATTATATATCTAAGAGCACGTAAAAGGAGAAAGGGTTATATGCTGTGTCAAGAACCCCCCAAACCTTCTTCTTCTTCAAGAGTTGCTTTCTTCACAGCTTGCTGGTTACCATAAATAATATTTAGAAGTAGCTTTCCAAAATTAGAAACACATGAAAAAGACTAAATCATGTAAGAGAGCGCGAGAGGGTGCACGTGCGAGCAAGAACACGTGCAGACCAACCTTCAGCCTGGGAAGCTGGTGATCTTGCCCACTTCTTGATGCAGTTCAGGTGGAATACGTGGTAGCAGTTCTGGCAACTCCACACTGGTGCCACGATTCGCACCACCTCACAACACACCATGCACTCATACTTCTCTGTGGTCAGCTGTTCAATCAGGGACCCTGCAAATAATAGATATTATTTATGCATAAAATATCTGCTAGCTGAAAAACAATATTAAATGAAATCCTGGAATTTAATTTGAACTAAAAGCAGAATTTAGTTTTTCCAGCCTGACTGTAACCAAGGTATTAGTTTCCTTCTGAAAGATTCTAGTTTAGACTCTAAGGACTCTTTCACCCAGCTCCAGAGGCCCCATGCTTGGCTATTGTTTCCCAGTAATTTCACTTTTAAAGCAGCTGTTTTAAGGGGGGGCCTGGTTTCCATAATCCAGGTGGAAGTGATTTATCTTTTCTCATTCTTTTTTCTTCAGCTCTGAAAGATGTTCAGAAGCAAATCTTCAAAAGATTCATTACCACATTTAAGAATAACCCAGATTAATTTACTCAGGTCTGCCATTCTAGGGCAGCAGGAACAAGCTGAGATACTTTAGGTAAAGTAATCTAAATAATTTTCTGACTGTTCAACAGGAAAAGGACAAAGGAATGGGAAAAAAAAAACCCTCTTTCAATTATTGCCTATGAAAGAAAATATGATTCCTTCTCCTAGGTGCTATGGATGATACGAGGCTGTTTTCTCAGTGTATACTTAGCTCTTCCATTTAAAACAATAAAAACACCTTACTTGGGAAAAAAAAAAAAAAGAATCTGGAGAAAGAACTCAATGCTGTGACACTGAAGAGATTCAGCAGATTTCCATTTTATGTTCTAAGGCTCTAATGATAGGAGTTGGCAATAAATTAACTCTGCAAAGACCGGGGGGGCTGCTTTTCACTATCAATGACGCATCTTTCTATTCTGTACTTCCAAAAATAGCATCCAGAGGCTTTCTGGATTTCTAATTGCATCTACCGTTGCAAAGAGATTGCAAAACATCCAGCTATGAACAGAATACAGCTCTCCTCTCTCTGATATTTTCCTCTACTTTTACATAAAACATTAGAAAATTTTCTTTGCAAATTTTAGGATTGTCCCTTTCAAGTCTCACTCTTCATAATCCTTTAATTTCACTCTCCCTCAGCACACGAAAAGTGCACATTTTAACATGGTGAGCAACCAGACCATCACTTGCAGTTTAGTAGTGATGATGATAACCACAAAGTCATATCCCTTCCCTTGCCCCAATCAACTCATTTATTAAAAGAGAACAGGAACCCTTCTTTAAGGGCCTTGAAGAACATCTTCCCATTCAAAACACACATATTTACATTGAATTCTGTCCCCTGAAACCAACACTGATCTACTGTAAAATAAGCACTTTCACCTAGTCAGAGGTGCAAGCAGTTTAAATTATTGCAGATCCTTACTTTAATACTGGAGTGCAAGACAGAGTCCAGGAGACTCACCTGTGTGAGTTTCTTTGTTTTTTGGTACATCACTCTGCTTTTTCCAGTACTGGGTCCAGCTGAAATGAAGGGCAGGTGCCTGATCCTCCTTTAGCAGGAACTTTCTTCCGTTACATCTGACGGAGTCAGACAACTGATGCCTGATTTCACTGGTTGAGGTTTCATCGCTTTTGTGAACAGTGAGTTCCTTTTTCCTCTCGTTTTTATCTTTTGAAGGATACGCAAGAGAAGACTTCTTACCTACTTTTGTATTTTTACTGCGGTGAGAATCATGCCTTTTCTGATAGTCTCTTTCTGCCGGTGGCTTATTCCACACAGGCTTCCGAGGGTACCTCCTGTTAACATAGTTGTAGCTTTTCTGCTCGTCCCCGCTACCGACAAGCGCCTCGCAGAAGGCTTTTCCAAAAGACGATTCTGAAGAGTCAGACTGGGTTAAATCCACAGACGGCACATTTTCCAACAGCTCAACTTTCTGTTTAGGGTTCACCCTCTTTTCCCGCTCGTGTAGTTGCTTTCCTTTCTCCTTGAACCCTCTTCCAGATGCATGCATCAGGTGTGTTTTCTTCGGCTTTGCTCCTCTGCTGTCCGCATTAGATAGTTCTCTGTCGCTCTCTGAGGAGAGAAAGTCATTATATCCTCTAGGAGCTGCTCTTCTTCCAGGCACCACTGAGTTATCCGAACTTCCTGGACCTGCAGCAGCATCAGTAGCAGTTTGCCTCACCTTATTTCTAGGACAAGTGCTATCATTTCTGGACCTGGGCCATCGCTGGCTTTGAAAGTTGCGATTCTTTGAACTTTTACTGTTACCAAAAAATTGGTGAAAGTCTTGACAATTCCCATATTGGCTTTCTGGATTACAAAAGCCAGGCTGCTTTTTGGAAGAGCTTTTATAATCTGTATTTCTGTCAGAAGACTGACTGGGAAATTGTAAATCACTTCTATTCTGATTAGAGTCCACTCTCTCTCTATTTACCCAGTTTATATCTGAAGTTTGTCTTTCTCCTGGAATGAAGTCAGCTGCATCAGGATTGAAATTCAATGCACCTAAAAAGTAAAATATCAAGTCTATTAAATTGTAAACATTTTTCCCCAGCAAAATTATCACACATCGAAGGGTCTAGAAGTTCGATTAATCCCACACTAGACAATTACAAACAAGTTTCCAACAACCAGGCTTGGATCAGAGTGTTTTATAAAAATATTAAAAGCACTCTAAAGAGAGGCAATAATCAATGCAAGATATGATTATACTGTTCTACATATAGACCTTAAATGATAGAGGGACTACATGAGGTGGTTTTACGTAATTATTATTCTGTTAGGATGCCATCAGCATGAGTCACGTTTCTGCCTATGGAGGTATCTATCTCCCTGTCTCTGGGGACAGGGAGGGCACATTTGAAAACCCATCGGACTCAATTCAATATCATGCTGCGCTAGCGGACAACAGGAATTATTAGGTGTGTATCAACAAGATTTCAACAAATTGCAGCAAAATGGTTAAATATTAGATAGTACTGTAAACAAGAAACTTGAAAGAAAAAGTTTACTTTTTCAACTAAAACTTTTTCAAAGAATCCCACTTACTTTCAAAAGGCTTAAAAAACAAACTAATAAATAATGTCACAATCACTACATGGGATTGGTGGCTAAAACTTCTCAAATTATGTGATATTTTTGGGGAAACTAACCTTTAAGTAAACAAAAAAATAACAAAGACTATATTTAAAGATGATCTTAACCATATTATCAAATTCATACTTGTTTTCAAAGAACACTGTAAACCTCAGAGAAAAAAAACAAAGTATTAGGCTTAAACATTTGAAAAGAATGGACTTCAAGAAGCTTCGCTAGAAATACTTTCCCTTCTTTACCTTTGCATATGTTATCCTCTGTAAAGGGCAGAATATATAAAGTTGTCCTTTTACTTTCCACAGTTGCAATGCTCTTCAGTTTTCTGTCTTTTTTTGACAGATTATTTTCTATTATTAACAGAGGGGACTGCAAAGCTACGATGCAGTCACTGTCTGTCCTAACAAAAATTGCCGTTACGTGCATCTTATTTGAAGCTACCCATTTTATTAGTTAGTTTGGTTTAAACTTTCTTTCGTAAAGTCTAAAAATTCAAGACCAACAGGCAGATATAACAGGTTAGACTGAATTGTTTCTGAATGTTTAATAAACCCTATTCAAAAACAAAACAAAAAAATGCCTCTTTCCTCTAAAAGGAAATATTTAAAACCACTCTTTCCTGGCTATGAGAACGCAGTATGCAAAACAAATGTTTTGACTGCCCACAAATTGCTGCAGAAAACTTTCAACTGAATACAATACGTAAGGTTCAATAAATACATTCTGCAGACAGGCAAAGCATACAGTCTTCCACTGACATAAGAACATATTGAGTGTCTTCAAAATGTCATTTTTTTTAAAAGATAAACTGCTTTTTTTGGAGGCCATGTTCAGAAGTCAATTTTACAAATCCGAAGGTCATTCAGCTACCAAGATCATATATTCGAAAATACTAATATACTAAATTTGATGAAACAGATGAAAAACAATGAGCTTAGATATTTAAAACCACCTCCAAAAATATGAATAATTCAGTAGGACTCCATGAATAGGATTTCTCTTCCTACTGCCAACTTTTAATTTATAAAAAAAAGTCCAGAGATCTGATAAAAGACAAAAAACTACAAGGCTACATATGTAAGCCATGTAAGTGTGAAAATCAGTACCTAACGGCAGAACAAAATCCCCCTCACATGTTTACACAGATGCACGTGAATTCCATCAAAAAGGAAACCTCCAAAGCTGGATGTCCACCTGTATTTCTGTGATAATCAATCAAAAAGAGTACCTTTGGAACTAATATCTATATTACAGATTTTAGGTGCCTAGGAGTTTGACTATAAATGCAAGCATATGAAACGCTCATGTGGTTCTATTCCCAGTTAAACATTGTACTTCTTTAGCAGTAACTGTGGAAAGAGCCAGAATATCACAGCAGCCTCGTGTCATCTCTGTGAACTGTTCTTCAGAAAGATCATTTGGACAAGGACGCTTTTAAAAATATGAAGTAAATCAGCAAGCAATTTAGTAAGATCACGTTCTACCTCAAAATAAAGTGTATTTTTGGAGACAGCAGAGCCATCACACATAGCACCTTAGGAAATCTTTTTATGAAGGCATCATTTATGACATGTGAAGCTAGTGCTTACAGCTATCATATACCTCAGTGACATTTCTTGAATAGCTTAAGCATGCCAAATTCAGTAAGATTTTGAACAGCTATTAAGCAACATGCTTTAATTAGCCAGCGGAGAGAATTCGTGAACTGGGGTGGATGGCAGTCAACTTTCATGCCATATTGTGTCATCCCAGGAAAAGGACAAGAATAAGCACACATAGGAAAGGGAATATAATGAAGAAGCCCACGCAGAGAAAAAAAAAAAAAAGTAACTGGTAGCGTCTACAAGGCAGTCTCTTGGGTGTTGTACATGGTACTTTTCTTTTTAAATGAGGCCAACTACTTAGTGAAATTAAGAATAGATCCTACATTTGAGTTACGTGAGAATGAAGACAACCAATTGCTCCTGGGCTATCAGGACACTTTCCTATGGATTTAGCATGTGCATCCTGGAAGATGGGTGAAAGAGGGAAGGGTTTCAGAGTAGGGGGAAGAAAAGGAAGTTGTGGAACAGTCTGTGCTGTCAATGGTAGGAAAACATGCTGTTCATCTCTCAACAATCCTGCTCTTCAAGACCTTCAAATCTTTTGCAGGGATGAGAGTGAGAGAAAATCCTGAATTGAATCCAAAGATTCAGTTCCATACAAAGAGAGAAATTTTCAAAGACTTAGCTGTCACTTAAAGTTAAAACATAAGAGGGAACCTCTGCTCACTAACTCTGGGGTCACATCTACAGGTTTCATAAACAGTATTTCCTTCGTAAGCCACTAAAACGGCTGACTACCTATTGTATTTATTGAACCATATCTTCCTTAGTTATCAAGTGCAGCACCATGGTTTGTAAGCAGGAGTACACACAGCAACCTCAAAGAAAATCAGCAGCTCAAAACTTAGTGGCATTACTAGTGGGGATCACCAGCCATTGCACATTCTGTTGCATGCTAGCTCCATGCCAGGACAGATGTCTTGACTCTTCAAGCCACTTAAAGAACCCATTCTTTCAGCCGCAGACAGATGACAGCACAGAGGGTGTGCACACCAACCCATGTGTGTACTGCACACATCGCAATCACAAACACACCAGCTACAGGGAAGACGGTCCCTGCAGGTCTTGGCATATACGTGTTACAGTGCACCACAGCAGTGGCACACGATCCAAATGCAAAGCTTTCCCATGGTGTTTGAAACCATAAACCTCTTCCCAGAGCATCAGCCTTAGTCCTTGTGTCTTCTCTGGCCATTTTGTACAACATATATTCACCTCTGGTCTTCTGTGATTTTCACATGCAACACATTTAAAAAACATTTGATTTCTTCCTGGACAGGAGTCACACTCTTTTGCACAAAGACAGGTGGCACTGCTGATTCTTTAGGCCCTGGGTTCCCTTCCTACAATTTTTGCCAGAAGATATTAAAAGAATGACACAATCATCATTGTGTTATTGTCCAAACTCTGTGCACCCACATTTTAAATACAATATGAAGTTTTAGCCAGCCCACTTCAGAAGACACAGAGGAATATGAGAGGTATGGGTGAAAGATACAGATTTACATGTTCAGCTGCTGAAGCTACGTCTGGAAGTACCTAATACAGAATAGCTTAGCATAAGGAGACTAAATTCCCCCTGTCCTGCTCCCCCTTATAGTAGGCTACTCAGTGTTTTATAGTAGCTCCCTGATATCTTCATGCATTGTACCCTGTTGTACTGTATGTGAAACAGAACCCAGTCGCTCAGGGCACCGTGGAGGGGAGAAAACAAAACAACCCCCGCCACACACATGTTCAGAAGCAATTGCACCAACTAACAGATGGAAGAAAAAGCCAACTAACAGTCATTAAACACAAATACAACCTCTAACTTGGGATGTTCCTCTAGATGCACTGGGCTGCAAACCAGAAAAATATTTCTCCTTATTTCTCCTATTCTTCTCTTGGGTATTAATAAGCACTCAGTATTAGCAAAGTGTGCTGGACAGGCTGCACCCCTGCAATGCTCCATAAGAAGAAAAAAAATCTTGGATCTCAACTGCTTCCCAATCTACCCCAAGATCAAAAATATCTTTCATGCTGAGGCTCTCAAAATCATAAACTCGCTCCGTCCGTGAAGTTGCAGGGCAAAAGCTACTTCCAACCCTAATTTCTCGCAAGCACAGATCCACACTTACCTGAGAGACAGCCCTGCAGAACAGCAAGGAGCAAACTCCACAACCAAACGCCATGCAGTACCTATGCGAGGCTGTGTAATGTAAAGCAAGACACAGCAAGGGTGGCCCACCCGGGCTAATTTTTCAGTAGAGCCCAGCATACCTACTTAAAGCTGCCTATGCCAAGGCATGTGCACTGCGTAAAGGCTTCAGGACGAGAGCTGACTCACAGCCTGACAGCACGGAGGACAGACAGCCGCAGGCACCGGCTTCTCCCCAGCAAAACGACCAGGCTCTGCTCTCTGACCCACGTCCTGGACTACTCCACTTCTCCCTAAGGCAGCTCTCCCATTCTCGTCCTATCAGGAACGAACTCAAATGACTTCCCCTCCTTTGATCTTGGCAGCCAGGAGAAGAGGCCGAGAAGGCTACAAGGTCAGAGCTGAACACCCTTCATGTGAATGAACTTGACGATGCTGCCCCAAGCAGAGCCGCAGCTCCTCTTCCCCCCCGTCCAGGGCCACCCGGCTCCACAGTTCTCGCCGCCCCAAACAGCCACTGGAGCAACGACGTGCCGCAGCCCGGCGAGCGGCTCCGAAGCGACACGGACAGCCCGCGGAGTCAACCCGGACTGCAAGAAAAACCAGAGACGGGGCGGGCCGAGGCGCCCCGCGCCGCGAGCCACCGCGGGCGCGCAGGGCAGGGGCGCGCAGGGCTGCCGGGCCGCGCGGGCCCGCAGCGCGCCAGCAGCCGCCGCCGGCTCGGACGGACGTTACCCGCAAACCGCCGTTACTCCGCCCCCCCATCCCGCCACCGCGCCGTGCGGGCCGGCGCCCGCGGGGCACGCAGGGGACGGAGGGGACGTGGCGCTCGCTGCTCGCCCCCCTCAGCCGGAGCTCCGCGGGCGCCCGCCGCCGCCCCGGCCCCGTCCCGTCCCCTCCCGTCGGGGCTGC